GGAATAAAGAGGTTATAATTTTATTTTTTAGATGAATTAATATTAATATAATAATTAATTTAAAACTTTAACTTTTTTTAAACTTTAAAATTTAAATTTAAAAGTTAAATTAAAATTTAACAACTTTATTGAATTGACTGAACATTGTTTTGATTTTATTGAATCCGGTTCTTTGTTTGATATATGAATGTGATGTGTTGTAAAGTAAATCTACTATTAATTAGAAAAAAGGTTATTAAAAAAAAAACTATAAACATCTCAAAAATATTACAATATAGTATATATATACTATAGAATATAATAATAAAATAAATAGTAGTGCTAAGAAGTTGGAGTAGTTGGTTGAGAATAGTCTTTTCTCTTTTCTTGAGTATATGATATAATGTTTAATTTAAAATTGATATCATAATTGACTAAAAATTTGATATCTCATTTATCATTTCATTTTTAGTAGGCACAATTTTTTGTTTTTAGAAACATTCATTTTTTTAATTTAATTAGACATGTCTTATTGAGAAGAGCCTAAAAGGTCAAATTATAAAGACAAATGTATCTCTAGAAGCAGGCGCTCATTTCATAGAATCTCTTCACCTTCAAACTGCAGCTGAGTGCCAAGAAAAGTGCTGTGAACATGCAGAACCCTGCAACACAGCTGTTATCAGAGTTAAAAATGTAAGTGTTGTGAGTGATTTGAGTTTGCTTATTTATTTTTTTCTAGACACTAATATTAATTTACAAACTTATCTTATATACTTATAGCTTCAAGTTTATTAAATAATATAATAAATCTACTTTCTCATGACAATGTTCTTACCTAATAACTATATCGATATAATAAATGCATAATAGTATAAGCCGGGGGTTTCCTGCTACCTTTTCGATTGCAAATCTCCTAGTGTCTGTTCTTTTGATACGCACTCCGATTTTAAAGTGATTCAACTGTCTTCATCCTCATCATCTGTGCAAGAACATCAGCTAGATGAATTAGCTAGCACATCTCAGCAGGACAACAGACATTCACATGCCTCCACCTCGCCTACATCTCCTACCAATGTTCAGTGCTTCCCTGGCTTCCATCCTGTTGCGGGTTCATGCAGTAAGTCTGCTTGCTCTCAGTTCAATTTTGTTTGTGAATAATCATTAAACTAGATTTTAATTCCTCACATCTTTCATCAGTTAATTATTTTGAACAATATTGAACATTACTAACAATCAGGAAAAGATTGTCAGAAGTTGTCCTTTGAATGTTTAAATGTTGACCAACCTTCACTGAGTCAGTGCATTGCCCTTTACGACAAGTGTGATACGTTCAACCAGTGCGATGATGGTTCAGACGAAGTTGCCTGCTCATACGATCAACAGCAGGACCACAGAAACGACGCCGCTGCTGGTGGTGGGGCTGGTGAGAAAGATGATAATGGCAGCCACCACACCGCAGGTGAGATAGTTTTTGTAGGGAAAGTTTAAAGTTTTTTGCTTTGAGCTTGAGATTAGGGTTAGGGTTAGGGTTGTCATGGTTCCGGGGTGTTTAAAACTGTTTAAATTTTGACAAACGGGTCCAACATTTTGGTAGTGTAGCCCATTTTTTTGGCTTATCATGTCAATATTTGGTCGATTTCCAACATAAAATGGTGCTTTTTCTGTTAAAACAAAGAGTTTTACTGACTTCTAATAGAAGTACTAAAGGTAGTTCTAATAAAAGTACTACTCACCGTGGGGGGAGGCAACCCCGGCCCTCCCCTTAGATCTGCCGCTGTCAGGGTTGAGTATTTGAAACGTTATTTCTCAGATTTAGGTAGTACACATGTTGTATACATACTTACTCAAATTTTAAATTTTTTATGTCATAATTAAATAATCTACTGTCATAGTTTTCTATATTTCTAATCAACCTTACAATGATCAGATCATGCTGAGAGGAGGTTTCATATTTTTTAATGATTAATTAAATTACTCTGATTGAAATTTTTATTTCTATGCTCGCTTGCATTCACAATGTCCTCATCATCTTCTTTGGCTGCTTCAATTGTTGCCATTGTAACATCATCATCAGTATCATCATCAACAACAACAAATGATCTTCCTATTCACAATAAACTACCACCGGCCATGACGACTGCCGCAACTGCAGCAGCTTCTACTACGGCGCCGTCATCCACGTCTACCCTGACCAACAATGTAGGAGGCATTGCATCTGCTGGTTCGGGTAATTATGTTGATGGCGTCAGTGAAGCTGGAGACAGGAAGAAGCTCATTGATCGTGCTGAAGAAAATCCCACAGGGCGTTCAAATCGAAAAAACAATTGGAATTACCCAGCTGATTATATAAGTAATAATGATGACTCTGATGGCAGGGATTATAATGGAGTTCATGTCAAATCTAAAAATAGTCACGATTTCCAGAAAGTAAGATATGAAAGTGAAAGTAGAGATGGGGGTGTGAAATTAAATAATTACAAAAGTAAATCTTATTTCAATGAAGCAGGTCCAATGGCAAGAGGAGATAGGAACAGATTGGCTGGCAAGGCTACAACATCATCCTTGGGTAGGCATAATGAAGATTTCAGTAGAAGTTCACTTGTAAAGCATAAACCCTACAGCACAGCTGTTGATAAAATGTATGCTGGCCAGGATGTAAATGAAAACATCGCTGACCAATCACAAAATGGGTATCATTTTGAAAGAAGCAATCAGATTGGTCGAAGCAGAGGTAAGGACAAAGGTGCAATTGATCAGCAACCAAGTGAGTATAATTATTTCAACGAAGGAGGTGTTGGTAGAAGAGGTCCAGACATGGATGACATGTACGTAAAAGAGTTGTCTGCTTTCAAGATCAAGAATCATTACAACCGTGAAGATGCTGATGGTGGCAACAACAGTAAAGATAACAAAGTTGATGGTGATGGAAAAAAGGTTCTTGGTGACAGCGTAAGGGAGGAGGGAGAAGGTGGCGAGAATTATTCGAGAAAGTCAAGTAAACCTTTTTTAAAATCCAAGCAGCCAGCCTTGAAATTGTTTTCGTCGCCGGCCTCACAATTCAAACATGGCAGAAGCAAAAACAGCAGCAGCGGCATCAACAACGACAACAATGACGATGGCGATGATAATAAGAACGCCGATGAGCGCCTCACTAACCAGCAACGCTATTCTCGTCCGTCATCATCTTCTTCATCGTCTTCTTCTTCTTTGTATATGCACCAATCAGCTGAACCCCGGAATGGCTATTTCAAGAAATATTATCGAGACCACTATAAGAGGAGAGATGATGATGGGGAGGAGGATGCCAGCAACGTAGATGACGAAGAAGTTGCATCGTACAATGACCGGTTCGTCAATCCTGCGGCTGATTATTTACTAAGTGACTCGAGAGGCAGCAGATACAACAACAATAACAACAGATACTTCAACGATTACAATGATTATGAAACCAAGCTTAAATACGATCCGGTCTATCGGGACTTGTTGCTGGATAGATACAGATCCTATTACAATAGTAAAGTTGGACGCCAAATGAAGAACCACAATGATCTCAATTATTTTGATTTGTTTTATAGGGGTAGAGGTAAAACGTATTAGAACTGATTGTTTGCTCTTTTTGTTTATACTTCTGCCTCTGTTTCCCTCGATTTATTTATTTTCATTTCTGTTGAATTATTATCCATTTGCACATTTTTTAGCTATTCTAACCATTTATTTCGATATTTTATTAATGTTCGTTTCGTTTTTATTTCACGTGAGGAATGCTGTGTTGATCCTATCGTTGTATTATTCATTTCTGCCTCTGGTTGGTTACATGTCAGTTTTTCGTTTATTTTCATCATGGACGGTCTTCAAGTCTCATTTTAATATTATTTCTGTTAAGGTTTAGTTTTTCAGTTTATAAAAATTTAATTTTATCATTTTGGAAATTGTTGGCCTTAAATGAATTACTTAAACATTAAATATGTTAATTAAAGTAATGAAATTTACTCATTTAAATTTATATTGTGCTATAATGAATTTATTACCAGACCCTTCAACTGAGATGTTGGAAACAACTGATCATTCCAAATCAACCCCGCGTTTCTCCACTGGTTCGCCTACAGAACTGCTTCCCGCGACCACCGCACCAGCTCCACTCTCGACGACAGCAGCTTCAAAATCTGCAGATAGGAAAAATAAGAGTAGTGTTGTGGCGAATGTAGGTCAGAGAGAGGTCAACACAGGAAGCGTGTCACCACCTCAGATGATCCTCGAGTTGGTGAACACTCACCACCGTGTACATGGCACTGATAATGAATCTTATGATAATTTAAAAGGCGGAGCTATAGTAGCGTTATCGTTGGGAATCGCTTTGACGTTGTTATCTCTAATCTTGCTATTCTGCAGACTGCAGAGTTGCAAAAGGTTAAGTAGGAAGAACAAGGCAAAAAATATGAGCGGTGATTCAGATTATTTAATCAATGGCCTCTACCTCTGAAAATTTTATCTTGTTACGTGCTGCATTCACGTTCAATATGGCTCTGAGTTAATGATGTGTGCTTCATGTTGTTGGCTGGTTGGTTGGTTGGCTGATGATGCATTTTACACATTTCTACGTTGCTTTTTAGCGAGGAGGTGTGCCAGGAGGTGAATCTCAAATTTCGTTTGATCGATTGTTAGTGTTTGCATTCGCCGTACATACTTGCGCATGTATATACTTATATACAGCATCCATTACTGTTTATTTATTTTTTTAATATTTTGATGTTTGTTATCTATTTAAACGTATTCATAAATTTATATTATTTATTATATGTATATATTTTTAGACATTTTTGAAGCCGTGGAAATAAGCTTCAAATTGTTGATGATATTATATGTAAATAAGTTTATGTTTAATTCTCGAGTAAGTTGTTTTGAAACATTCCCATTATATTTCATTCATGTAACTCGGACTCAAACAAAGTTCGGTTCATTATTTGTTGGCTAATTTTATTAAAACTCTAATCTTAATAGTCTATTAGTCCAATGGAAGAAAATCAGTTTTTGCCAAACCGGGAATTCTGTAGAATTGTTTGGATATTGCATAAGTTTTTTGCACGCGTGTAAAATACTACTGAAATCGCTTTTCGGAAAACTGAAATTTTTAAACATTCTAATTTTAGTAGCTTCTAGTAAACGATAGTTAATTTAGTGTGAAGTTTTATTTTAGCGAAAATAACTCGAGCGTGTTGTATTTTAATGTCATGTAACCAGTGTATGTCATATCATTACGGAAGGAATCCTGCCTAGAGTGTTTGGCAGATTTCGCAACAATGCAAGCATTAAAGGGTTATGAATATCGTTTGATGTCAATCGTGTTTAACACGAGTTAAGAAGTGAGAACAAGAAGACGACCGTAGCGTCAAGCCACCACTTGTTTATGTTAACTTTTAACTGATAGCTCATTAAATACCTACCATGACCAATGTGCATTTCTATCAGATGAGCACAAGAAAGTTTTAGTTTAAATTTTTGTTAATTTTTATACAACAATCTTAAGATCTGCAGGTTTCGCAGCATGTCAGACAATTGATGCTGACTAGAGGTGAGCGGAAATTGAAATTTGTTCTCAATTCCCTCCCATTTTTTTCTCATTCCAGATTCTCTCCAAAATTCCCATTTTTAAAATCAAGTAAGGTTAAAAAAAGTAATATCAAATCGAGAAGTTGAAGGCAGGCATTTAAACACTTGTATATCTTTATGGTGGAAAAACGACGGCAGTCTGAATCGCAGGCATTGCACCACGTACTGTCGTTTTGTTTTTAAAAAAAATTGTCCAGTTTTACCAGAACAGTTACCTCCAACAAAATCTGCAGCCAGATTTCAAATCTATCACGCTTACATGATCTACACTGGAAAAACTAGATCCAGAAAAATGTGGATGAAAACTCTTTGATGACAAACAATATATTCTCTCTCAAGCTACGTTAATCCAGCAGCAGATAACATGCTCAAAGTTGTTCGTTCTAAATGTCACACAACATGTCAAAAACCATCGGCAGGTAGTAGTACTATATCACAAACATGGTGTTAAGAAATTTTTTTAAAATCAAGATTGCTAAATTTACCTTAATTTACTTGCATTTGTTTCAAATAAATAGAATTAGCTAATAATCTATGTATTTTGTTATTTCTTTACTTTACTAAAAACACTTATTCAGTTTAAAACATGTTATTTAGCGAGAAAATGAGCATACTTTCAAGTAACCATGACTTTTATCTCCAGAGTAGAATTTAGTAATATTTTCCGGAAGTCATTTATACACATTATATCATTTACCCTATTTGCGCTGTTTAATGCTTGTACAGAACTTATTAAGGATTATTCAATCCATTGATGCATTCTAAGCATATGAGTAGTTATACTTATAGGTTGTAACTTGAGGTATAAATTTTTTATATTTATAAGTCCTTATAGGTTATAACTTCCTATACCTCAATGATTCAAACATCTGCCTGACTATTCCCACAGCACGCCGAGTTTCAGCGATGAAGTTTGGGTTGAAATGTACATAAATGGTGAAACTCCATGCGTTTTCCCAGCTCATATCGTTTGGATTCGACTCGATTCGACTCGATTTGCACGTTTTTTCTAAGTTCGCTTTTGGCATTTGTTTCGTGAATTTAGCGTTAAAAAGGGGTATTTTTATTTCCCTCTTAGTTACTTTATTGCTCTGTGTTTTTTAATTAGTTTAAAAAAGTTGTCTGCGGTGGACAAATTTTGTTTAATTGTCAATAAGTTTCCGGTAGAAATTCTCTTTTTGTTGAATTGAAGTAAAGTAAGGTAAGAAGGTGAACTCGTGTTTGCGTGTGTGTCATTCATTTCATTACTCATTTGTTCTTCTGTTCTCCTTCTTGTTCCTGCCTCCTATGTTTGTTTGCATTTCAATTGGGTGTGGTTATGTATGTATGTATGTATGTATGTATGTATGTATGTATGTATGTATGTATGTATGTAATGTATGTATGTATGTATGTATGTATTTGTAGTGTGTGTAATGTACTTTTTAACTTTAAATTTAACTACTCTAGTGTAAAAGTTTGTTATAATTATGAAAATGTAAGTAATTGTGATGTAATTTAACACATTACTAACAACAGAACAAAACTCTACCTAGTCTTAATCTACCTAAAGGAATCTCATATCATAGATATAGCTAGAATTACATGTACTGTAGAGAAAATTCTATTTATAATTTTATTCATCTTATAACAATTGTTTTGTATAGTTTGCAGTATGGTATAGAAAGGTTTTTATACTTTTGATTTTTCAAACCACAAAATGGTTTTGTGGACCCAAACCCATTCACCATTTCTTTATAATTCATTATGAATAATAATAAATAAATAAATTATAAATTTTAATAAATAATTTATAATTCATCATTCATTCATTCAGCACTTTTCAAAAACTCCATAGATATCACGATGTTCAGTAACGCTAACACGAAAAATGCCTCAAGTTACAGCAGTGGCCCGCAGCTGATGAACATGGCCAACCTCACAATAGCTCCTTGTGCAATAATAATGGTTGGCCTGCCTGCCAGGGGAAAGACATATATGGCCAAAAAGCTGTCCAGGTTATTGATTTTATGCTACAAAAACTAAAATACTAGTTTAACTAATTTTTTTTCCTCCTAAGTTGGTTATAGTAAAATTATCAAGTCTTTAGAGGGAACAATGTGTGAAAATGTATTCGTTATTTGGTATGTTGGTGAAATTTTGACCACCCATCTGGAATGTAGGTATCTGAATTGGATCGGGCTGAACACAAAAGCTTTCAGTGTTGGAGATTATAGGAGGAAGGCATCCAGTAGTTTCAACAACTTGTCAGATTTCTACGACCCTAACAACATTGAAGCGTCAAAAGTGAGAGAGAAATGCATACTGGATGCGCTGGGTGATCTTCAAGCCTTCCTCATGGACAAGGGAGAGGTTGCCTCATTTTACACCATAATCTCTTCTTCTTCCTAGTACTAGATTCAAATAGATTTGCACTAGCATTTGTACTACTAGATTATTTAGGCATTTTTATTCATGCTAGGGGGGAAATATTTTGAACTAGCAGCAGTTCTTTATTAAGAAATGCTTTTTTAAAGGATAAACGTATGTTCTGTTTTTGTTGCTTTAGTGATAATGTATCAATGTGTTATTATCGTTACCTCTGGTTGCATAGAGATGATGGGTGATGATGTTTACTTCATTGGATAGTTGATTCACTTTACCTGTTAACTGCTGCAGGTTGGCGTGTTTGACGCGACGAATGGAAGGCGTGATGAGAGGCAGCACATCTTCGATGTCCTCACTATAAAATGTGGCTTCAAAACCTTCTTCGTCGAGTCATTCTGCCATGGAGACAAGATTGTGGAGGCCAACATCAGGTTGCTCCTCTTACTTTCTTATATATGCTTTCTTGCAGGATCCAAGCTTTCAGTTTAATTCTTTTCATGTTATTCTCATTCTTGTACATTTTGCATTACTTGCTATCGGATCATTTGCTTTGTTTATCAATTGATTAATTATGTTGATTAATTATTCATAATTGATTGGTTGGTAATTAATTATGTTGATTAATTATTCATAATTGATTGGTTGGTAATTAATTATGTTGATTAATTATTCATAATTGATTGGTTGGTAATTAATTATGTTGATTAATTATTCATAAAAAGTCGATGTTGATCATCACCACATCAGACAGGTCAAGATCAACCACCCGGACTACAGGGGACTGACTGTTGAAGAGGCTGTTGCAGATTTTAAAAAGAAAATTAAGTAAGTATGCTCTTGTTGTTGTTGTTGTTGTGTATGTGTTGTCGGTCGGTCGGTTGGCTGTTTGATTGATTGATTAAATGAATGAATGGTTGATTGAATGATAGGTTGGTTGACTGGTTGATAAATTGTATCAACTAATAAATTGTATCAACTGATAAATTGTATCAACTGATTGGTTGATTGTTTGCTTTGTGGTACGGATGAGTGTTATTTAAATTAACCTTCAATGCTGATGAATAAGGCGAGTTTCGTTTTAAAATTTTGTCGCGTGTGTGCCACGACTCGACAAACAGACGCTTGGAGCTTGAGTACGAGACAATAGATGAGATTAAGGATGAGCACCTCTCCTATATGAAGATCATTGACCAGGGTCGCATGTTTCTTGTTAATAAGGTCGGTTTTCCAATGGTGTTGGGTTTATGATGGAAACTAGCTTCTGCATGATGTTGTTTGGTGTTATTATGAATTGTTGTAAATATGAATTGTTGTAATTATGAATTGTTGTAATTATGAATTGTTGCAGTTATGAATCAGAGGGCTGTTAAAGATGAATAAATAATAATTTTTGCTCGCTTTGGATCAGGTTCACGGTCATGTAGAGAGTCGAGTGGTCTACTATCTGATGAACATACACGTCCTACCGAGAACCATCTACCTGACCAGGCACGGGGAAAGTGTGATGAATCTCGCCGGCAGGATCGGAGGTGACGGAGATCTCTCTGAAAACGGAGTTGAATTTTCGAAGGTCCTCACAGATTACGTCAACAATCTCAATAAGCCCAATCTCAAGTAAGATCTTATCCATTGTTGGATTGCTGGTTGGCTGGTTGGTTGGTTGTGTTTGATTGGTTGGCTGGTTGTGTTTGATTGGTTGGTTGGTTGTATTTGACTGGTTGGCTGATTGTGTTTGATTGGTTGGCTGGTTGTGTTTGATTGGTTGGCTGGTTGATCACCTGTACACGCGAGTTTGTGCTTGATACTTTGTCAATTGTTTGATTTAAATGTTAGATAAAAATTGAACATGCTTTGTAGGATATGGACGAGTTTGATGAAGAGGACGATACAGACAGTCTCAGGTCTCAACAATCAGAAAGAGCACTGGAAGGCATTGAACGAAATCGACGCTGGTGTCTGTGAGGGGATGACCTACCAGGTGCGGCGGTCCCAATCAACATCCCCAATTCATCATCCATTTACTTCTTTTTCAATTTTTATATATTAATTTATTAATAATTTTTTAACTTTTCAATTATATTCCTGCCCTGTAAAGCTGTTGTATTCGTCAGGTGGAGTTCGCGAACATTTATTCTTTCATCTGTACATTAGTTTTTTTTTTCAATTTTTATCTTCCTTTCATATGTTATGCAATCTTGTTGATACAGATCATCACATTTTGTTTGTGTTGGCTACGTTTAACGGAACGGTGTTGTCTTTCCTGTTTGAGTGATCCGTTCACCAAATTATGAATGATATATTATAATTGTATCGTGATATATTATAATTGTATCATTATTTTTCTAGGAGATCCATGAAAAGTATCCAGAAGAGTTTGCATTGAGGGATAATGATAAGTATCATTATAGGTTATTTCTCCTTCCTTTTTTCATGTTTGTTCTGTCATTCGCGTTTACTGGTGCTGTGTTTGCATGTTTCTTTCTCACTCTCTCTCTTTTTCTCTCTATCTCATTCACTCCTCTTCTCTCACTCTATTTGACCATGTAGTGCGAATTATCCATGATGATTCTATGACAGAAGTGTTATCTGTACTGACTTCTGATGTCGATTTTACCAGCTATAATGATCACGATGATCGCGATGTGAGTATAAAAAAGATTGTGTTGATGAAAATAGTGATGTCGGTGTCTTGTTTGTTGTGCCAGGTATCCAGGTGGGGAGTCATATGAAGATTTGGTGGCCAGATTGGAGCCAGTCATCATGGAGCTGGAGAGACAGGAAGATGTCCTGGTTAGTCATCTCTTTCTCTTTCTCTCTCTCTCTCTCCTCTCTCTCTCTTCTATCTATCTTGCACCTCTATCTGTCTGTCTCTTTTTCTTTTTTTTAAGTACTATTGTCTTTTTATGTTCCCATCCCAATTTGATTTAAAATTGTGTAATGCTTTGTCTATCCTGCCTTGTTTGCAAACTGTTCCTTACGCTCTCAAGTTTTGGCGAATTTTTTTGCGTGTAAGTGCTTGGCGGAATGAAAGCCGCCGGGTCCAAGTGGTTGAAAGCGTCTTCTCCTGGCTCGTGTTTTGTGTGTGGTGCGTCGTTTAGCGCGTATTCTTTCATATACGCTTTTTGGTTTTTTTTTGTTTCTCTAGTCTTAACTTTGGAAGAGTCTGTAAGATCATCAACCTTTTTTCTAAATGCGACTAAAGAAAAAAATGTGAGATTAATATTAATTAAAATCATTACAAACTGTGAACAAATGTAAAACTAATGCTGTTTGAAAATGCGTGCATGCATTGCATAGCTTGCTGGATGCAATTGGGTAGCAAAAGTGAAATGATTCGGACGCACGCAGGTCATCTGCCACCAGGCTGTGGCTCGCTGCTTGCTGGCCTACTTCATGGACAAGCCCCAGGAGGAACTTCCATATTTGAAGATCCCCCTCCATAACATCATCAAGCTTACTCCTGTCGCCTACGGGTGTGAAGTTAGTTCTCATCTGTTTTTTTTTATTATCACGCAATAATTTTTTCACTTTGAATTGTAACTGGCAAAATGGCAATAGTTAGCAATCGAAGCCTGGATATTATTTCTTGTTAAAACCAACAACAACCAACAAATAGATTGAGTTTATCAATCTGAACGTGAAAGCCGTGGACACGCACAGACCACTTCCAGCAAACTTGCAAGTCACTCGGAGTGCTCATGATGCCTTGGCCACTGTACCACCAACACCCACAACTCTATCTATTTAGGAAATTATTTTTTTATTCATCTATATATATATATATATATATATATATATATATATATATATATATCTCTGTGTAGTTTGAATATATTTATCAATCTAATGCTCATTGCTGTTTACTACTGATTAAAATCACTGGAACTAGTGTGACTATTTATTATCAGTATCATAAGCATCATATTTGCATTGTTGATTACATACTAGCTAGTGTCACTGCACGGTTTTTTAATATAATTAACGCATAGGAAGATTTTTAAATAATTTTTTTTACTCTGGGTTGCTCCGTACAAAGGTACGTGTTGGGTTTTTATTTTCGGGTGCTTTTTAAAAGTTATTTCCTGCTTACGGTTATCTGTTAATTTACTGTTTTTGTTATATTTTGTCATATCATTAATTATGCATTATATTCTGAGTAAGCTAATTTCTTTAAAACGAATTTGTTTTTCTTATTGTGTCCCGATATGGTCGAGTGAGTTACTCTGGTGCCTGTGCGATCGTCCGTGCGAGGCCCGGCTTTTGCAGTCTCGATCGTGTTTAACGGTAGATATGAAAGCAGTTGGGGAAAAATTTTATCTATGCTCATGTTTCCCATCGCAATTAACTTTTAGTTTTTATCGTGTAAAAATTTTCTCGACGTACGTGAATAATTTCTTCGAATGATCCGTGCATAAATTTTCTCGAGGTAAGTTTGAATTCGAAAACTTTCTGTAGTTACGTTTTTTATTAATTTTTATTTAAACAAAACTTTTCTAACAATTTTGAATTTTAGGAATCTGTCTATGGTTGCTTTGCTAGGCGACATGACATCATTCGTGCATCTGGTTTATCGTCGTCATGCATTGTGGTGGTCCATTGCGGGTTTTTTGGCAAAGGGATTGAATATTGGCCGATAATATAAAGGGGTTGTCACTTCATTCAATGCAACTCATTACCTTGCAAATTTGAGAAAATAAATATACCACCAAGCTAAGATTCTATCTAATTTTGTTATAATTCAATTAAATTAAAATAGTAATTTATAATTTCAAATAACATTAAAATTAAATCACTTATTGAGTTATTAATTAGCTTCAACTGTTCATTTCTTTATAAACTCTATCAACACCATAGAGGTATCTTATAGACAAGGTATATATTGATTAAGCTATAAGTTAATTCTACCTCAATGATCAACGCCTTGTTTTATTTATTTTATTTCTATTACAATACATTAAAAATTAAAATTTAATTTTACATTTGCAAATTTAATATTTTTTATGTTTTTGCCTAAATATGAAAAAGTCATTCAGGTAAATTTATACATATACATGTGGATGTGTTTTTTTAGTTATTTTGTGATCAAACTTTTTAGTTTTAAATTTCTTTTTATCCTAAACTTAAATTATTTTTCATGAATTATGAGAGCTTGTGCTACATAGTGTTTAAAATTGAATTTGTCGAAATGGCATATCTTTATGATATTTTTTCATGTGTTAGATTTGTAAACTATCTATTTGACTAATTTAATTCAAACAGGATGCATTTTCTTAGTTAATTAAATAATTTTTTTGTAGCAAGTGAAAATGATGAACCACAAGTTTGTTTCTGCTACTGGAGACCTATGTTTAACACAAGTTGGAATTCTCTCGTCAAGTTTTCAACTTTCTTATCATGGCTGAGTTGGACAACGCTTCATGTACTTTAATTTTATAAAAATGTTGTTTGTGTTAATAATATTTCGTTTATGAAACCTCATTTCTTAATTAGTAGTAGAGTAGGTTAGTGCATGTAAAGATAGGCAGACAAGTTTTCAAAAACTCAGAGAGTTCTATAGCGTTAACAATTTTACATATTTTAATTCATTTCATTTTCATTCATTTTTATGTCTAGGTTGATATAGGTTCGTAAATTAGTTTCCGATTAATGAATTGGCGTTACAAGTTACTCCTGCTGGTAAATTAAGTAAAGGCGAGAAACAAAATGAAAATAGTAAATCTTCAGAGTTATTTGAATCTTTGTCCAACTAATTAACATTAAAGTCGCCCGCTATAAAAGTTTTGTCGGCGGGTTAGATGGCGTGTAAAATCAAATTGATTTTATTTAAAAAAGGCTCAAATTTATAATTATAAAAAAGGCTTACATTTTTAATTATATATTCACATATTAGATTAGTTCGCTTAATGTTGATCTCCAAGCCAGAAAGTTATTCGAACTTTCTTATTGTTTGTTTTGTTCTGGTAAATAAAAAGTATTTTTGATTTGATTTGATACATACATACATTCAATAATTTAAGTCTGTTCACATGAAATTTTTAATATTAGAAAACCAATTGTTCTGGTAAATAAAAAGTATTTTTGATTTGATTTTGATTGATTAAATATGCTTAACAGCATTGTGAGTTTTAAAATTCTTTTGACTTAACATTTACTATTACTGCTGTTGCTGTGTAATAACATTGTTATTTATGATGGAATCAATCGTTACTAAAATGTTTGTTTCGACACATAGCGAGAGTTTTTTCGTGCTTCCGACTCTACATCGTTGACGAAAGCGACGCATCTGCTCAACGCGTGCAATGATAGTGTGAGGAAAGCAAGTAGCAGTTTGAAAGTTTATTTAACTGTGAAAAAATATCGATGAAAAACAATAAAAATTTATAATACATTTGGTTAACGATTGGTCGGTTGTTTCTCACTCGAAGAAGCGTTTTGATTCAACTGGTCAGACCCCTCCAAGGTTTTCAGGAGGCGAAAGAGAGCGCCGGCTTCTCTGATCTTGCTGAACTCGATGCAGAATGCCTGAACCTCTATGAAGATGTCCTGTCAACGTTGTTCGTCGGTGAATTAGATAGGCAAATTAATTCATCTGAGAGTTGGTGAATGATTGGATGGGTGCATGGAGGTGAGCGGCTGAAGGGATCGCATGTACTAACCCTTATGTCGATGACCTTGTTTCTTATAAGTGACTGAAGAAAAACACAGACGAGCCGTACGTACCTGTGGGGCGAGATGTTATCGAGAGATGTTGCGTCACTGTCTGCTACATTTTTCACGTACATTTATAATTGCATGCATACACGCACATCTTACGATCGATTGATTGATCGATTGATTGATTATAATTGCATGCATTCACGCACATCTTACGTACTCACCACATTTTTTTACCGTTAAATCATAAATGAATTTAAAAAGATATGAAACTGCTGAGGTATGGCGGGATTAAATAAAACAAAAATAAATTAAATAAAATTGTGGAGAAGAAGCGACCTGCACTGAAGATACTTATCCTTGGTGGTGTCGCAGGTCGATATGCAGTTGGAAATGTACAGGTGGATGAACTCTGTTGGCAAGTCACAGACCTGAATATGTCATCGTTGTACGTTTATTCAATTTTTTTCTAAAAAATATTCACTAATTTCATTTGTAAAAATGCATAATCGGCGAGTGCATACGTGCATACATTACACACGCAGAGATATATTACATACACAGAAAAATATATACAGTATTGTACGAATTCTACAGAATTGTTGGCATTAATTCGGAAAAATTCGTACAATACTGTAAAAAATATGGTCTCCTTCCAAGAAAAATACATACATATATACTTGAGAATGATTTACTTGAGAATGATTTACGATCAACCGTTAAAAAAAATCGAAAAATTAAGCAGGATTTTCATTAATAATTGCAATTTCTGACAGTCTTAATCCAATATATATATATATCTTTTATAAACACATAAGCTTATACCGAGGTTTACATAGAATCAAACATACAAAAATACATAGGTATTTATACACACACACAGACACAAACATACATACACACAAACATACATACATACACACAGACACAAACATACGTACAGTGGTCAGTCTGTTGACGACCTCCATGGAATGCAAAGAGACCTCCATGTTGACTAGAACTCCAAAGTAACTGGCAACACATTTCAATCATTACATTGGTTAGTTAGTTAACTAGTTGATAATTGATTAGTGTGTTGTCGAATGGTTTTCAGTTGTAGGTTTATTCACTTAACATTGAATTTTCAAAAAATTAATAATGTTAATTATAACGAATTTAAAGAAATGTTGAACCAACTGACTCAGATATCTGGTGACCTGCCTGCATCAGTCTGTAGAGGACTTCAACTGCCACAAGAGGGTTGTGCTCTACCAGATCAGGCAACTATTCGTTTGTTCATTAACCAAATCGTTAATACATTAAATAAGTCAATTCTTTCGGACAATTTATTACTTCTAAGCGCATACTGTCACAAACTCAATGAAAATTATCTGATAACCTTTGCAGCAGTTAGGCCAACATGGTGGACGAGTTTTGGATTCCTGTTTATGAATTGTTGGAGTTGGTGTTGCTGCTGGATGGAGAGAGGTCCAGAGATGGCCTTCAGCAGCAATTTGTGGCCTTCATCATTCAGGGCGGTTGTGGACTGCAGCATCGCTTGGTCCCAATGTAACTGGTGTTCTGACGCTGGCAACTGCAGCCAGGATAACTTGGGTGGGGAATCAAGTGCAAGCATCAGTGTATGGGCAAATAATGTACACTAGCACAAAGCAAGAAATGAATAAAGAAATAAATAAATAGAAAAGTGAGGAGTACTTCTTCATCAAGAGCCGTGTGGAGAGGCGGGATTAAAGTGATGAACTCAGGACCAACCGACCAATCAAAGAAAGAATTGTTCTGCTCCATTATGGCCTCAAGTGTCTGTCTTTGAATGTCGGCATCTGTTTGTCCAGGTTTGTGCAACCCTTCCACACTGTGAACCGTTCAGATTTGTAATATTAAATAACTCATTCATAACTAATTGATAGATTATTTGATGGTATTATCATCCACCAATCGTTAAAATCATCCAACAGCCAATCAACTATGACAAACATTCAATCATTACTTCATTGGCTTGATATCAGGTTGTGGCACAATGCAAGGTATGTATGATCTGGTATGTATCGGCATTTCTGATTGGTTTTCAGTTACTATAAGTTGTAGGCCGGTGATTTCGATTGGCTGAAAAAAATAGAATGAGTGATAAATATTTGAGTAATAATTTCATCACATCATTCAACATTCACCACTATCATCATCACCATCTGATGATGATCACGACGATACAGTCACCGACATGAATACGAAGCAGAAACACGTACCGGCAGCATGGAGACGTCCATCTGTAAGACTTGAGAGGGAGTTTTCTTGGAGAGCTGCACGAATAAGTGAAATAATTGAATTGCAGCAGTACATACATTCAGCTGGAGTCTTACGTAGAGTCTATCGTCAAACATATATTAATGTTTTGAAACTCATTAATAAGGACCGTCAATTATTTAAGCGTTTGTTTGAGCAAGTCAAAACTCATTTCATAAAATGTTTAACGAGCAAATTAATGTGAAAAGACAACAAATAGAATTAGCATATAGAAAAACAGTGGGTGTGTAAATTTTAAAAAGTACTCTAGGCAAACAACGCAGTTTAAATACATAGTGGAAATAGATGGTGCAACATTAAAAACAAAACATGGACAGTGCATGGCAAGCCCACATACACCTACTTCTTTTATTGGAGAGGTGATCAGTTGTGACAGGAAATACTTCTCTGATGCTGAAAGATTCGTTGGCACAGCATCATCTGACTGATATTTATTCATTATATTATTTATTCATTCATTCTATCAATCATTTATTCATTCGTTCATCCAATCGTTCACTCGTTTATTCATTCTCCTTGTTGAATATATAATCCATTCTAACATACAGATACACTATTTGAAAATTAATTAAGATGGAATTACTAATAACTCGAACATAATCTTTTCTTCACCAGAGTTGATTTTGCACAAAATTTGTATGTAAAATATCATCCAGTTGAATAAGCATACATGAGACAGCACGGAAACAAAACTAATTTAAATCACAAAACATTCACTGGATAACATCAAAAGTTAAAGATTGAAAAATAACTGCATAAAAAATGAATAAGCATTACATTATCAAGTTAACACACATGACCAACCAACTGACCAATTGTTTAATGATGACAGGGAGGAAAGGATTGAGTGAGATGGGGTCGGATGAGTAGAAGTCGACGAGCAAGTACATGATGAAGAGTCGTTCAGAGCCATGCTTCAAAAGGTCCACACTCTTAAGCATTGTCACCTTGCAATTAAACATCAAACTCAACATCATGATGAGCAATCAATAATTCAATCCAGTCAAGAAGTAAATTAATTAAAATGTTCACAATAGTGAAAATAGAAAACATTAAATGAAATTTTTTTATTATTTTAATAATTAAAAATCCATTCAATTTGTTCTGTAATCCTTATTATTTTAAAATCTAATTAATCTTGAAAAAAATTACTACTATTATTATTAAGAGATGTAGTGGTGTGAGGGGGGCACTGAAAAAGGTGGAAGGCACGTTCGAATGTAAGAAATGTGTTCATGGTGTGATTAATAGAACGGACGCAAGGACAGGGTTGAGTGGTGGTATTGAAAGAGTGGAAAGCTTTGTTTATTTAGGGGTTAAGCTGAACGCGGATGGAGGATGTTTGAGCGCTGTTACGACTAGAGTTCGTGTGGGATGGATGAAATTTAGGGAACTGGGTGGGGTATTGTGTGGAAAGAAATGGTCAGTGAAGATGAAAGGGAGGGTATATAAAGCATGTGTGAAAGCAGCGATGGTATATGGTGGTGAAACTTGGGTGTTGAGGGGAGAGGAGGAAAGTGTACTGCAGAGGGCTGATAGAGCTATGGTGAGGATGATGTGTGGGGTTAAAGTGAAGGATAGGAGGAGTAGTACAGAGCTGAGGTCGATGATGGGACTGAATGAGGACATTGTGACATTGATAAGGAGATCGGAGGAAAGTGTACTGCAGAGGGCTGATAGAGCTATGGTGAGGATGATGTGTGGGGTTAAAGTGAAGGATAGGAGGAGTAGTACAGAGCTGAGGTCGATGATGGGACTGAATGAGGACATTGTGACATTGATAAGGGGATCGAGATTGCGGTGGTATGGACATGTGTTGAGAAGGGATGAAAGGGTCGGGATTAGGCGAGCATTGGAGTTCGAGGTTGAAGGAGTGGTAGGAAGGGGTCGTCCGCGATTGGGATGGAGAGAGCAGGTGGAGAAGGACAGGGTGAAAGCGGGGTTGAGTGATACTGAGGCGAGTGACAGATGTGAATGGCATCGAGTGGTATTTCGGTTTCATCATAGGTAGCAACCCCGATCTCAGGGAAAATGTCGTCTAAACGTGTGTTGTTGTACTATTATTATTAATCAAGCAAAAATAATAATTCTTATCACTTCATGTTTTTAAAAAAACTTAATAATAAACAGTTGCTAAACTGAAATTTAAATAAAATTAGATAACTAAACTCTAAACTAAACTGCTCTCTAAAGCTAAACTAAACTGATGTCTAAAAAAAATAAAAAACCATACGAGGGCCAGTCCGACTTTGAAATGGAAGTTGTCCATTTTATTTGGGAACTGCTGCTTAAAAGCGTTTGCAAGCTGTTCAAAAGTTTGTGACTGACTAGATTCCTCCGACAGCAAACTAGAAAATATAAATGTGAATTTTTAGAAATAATTTGAACCATTTCAGTTTATTTTATTATTTGTTCATATATAAAAAATTTAATTTAAATATTAACATTAACATTGACTAATTTTTTTATTACATCTATAATAATTTAATTTAAATATTAACATTGACTAATTTTTTTATTAAATCTGTTATGTTGCTAAAGTTATTTATATTATAATTATTTATTATAGATTTTTATTTTATAATATATAAAAATTTCCCCCAACAAAACAAAGTGAAACATCAAGCTGGTCAATTCAATCTAATTGACTCAATGATTCAGTGTCAAATCAAAAGTCAAACACAGACAAACATAAACATTTATCAACATTTTTGAGCAAAAAACCTGAGAAGCGAATGAATCTCTTGCAAGTTGAAACCTTTCCTAACTGCATGATTCTCCGGTGTAGTCATCTCGATTCAATGAACTTTTTTTAATGAGAAAAATGTTATTTTTGCGAGAAAGACAACCTACACATTTATTTTTTAAAAACAGATATGAACAAAACTTTTAGTTAAATGTAAACGAGAAGGAACTTAGCCACAATCCAGAACGACCGACCTATATAAAGTGATGCGCGCTAAAAGATCATAAAAAAGAAGACCATTCGCTTAATTCATGGCAAGCGTTCATATATTGCATTGCATTGCATTTTTAGATTTCTAAAGCGCATCTATTGAGCTATCTTCAGAAGCGCTAATTGTGCTTCGTTTTGTTGAAAAAATGATGTTTCAAGCCAGCCTTAATCCAATATATATATATATATATATATATATATATATATATATATATATATATATATATATAGACGTAAAAGACAGTGAAAATTCGAATCATTACAGTCATGAGAGCGTATAGCGATATTTTGAACAAAGACATTTTTTTAAATATTTATATTCAAATATTGAGGGAGCTCAAAATAGGCTTGAGCCCGAATGGTTAAATATTGGGGGGCTGGAGGCCGAAAGTCCGTACAAGTCGCCGCCAGTACACCAACCAACAACATCGTCAATTTTTTATTGCCCAAAATTTCCCCAACTTCATCATAATCCTCATCGTCGTCGTCATTGTTCCTAGCAAAAGCATCATCGTTATCAAAGTTGATGACTCCAGTGAATTGAATGTTGAAACGTTTGTTGCAAATGTTGTTGGATGATGTGACGAAGTTTATGAACAGCTTGTGGTGGTAGGCAAGTTTTAGGATGGATGCGGTGAGGAGAATTTTCATCTTCCTCCTCCTCATTATTTTTATTATTATTATTGTTGCTGTTGTTGAGATGGCGGTGGTGGTTGATGTCGGTGGTGGTTGATGTCGCTGTTCGATGGCAAGTTGGACGTGAACCACAAAATTTGGGCAGAAGTGAATGCTGTTTTCATTATTTTTACGATCAGCCCCTCCAAACGTTTTTATGATTCCGTACCCATTTATGACGAAATATTTGGCATCTGACGAAAAGAGAGGAAAAAATCTGGCGGTGAATCTGGAATTTTTGAACAATTTTAGCTGAGCGACGGCAACACCAGTCGCCAGATTTGGCTCTATAATAATTTCTCTGTCCAGTTGTTTCCGTCAAATGCTGAAAAATTATATTTGAGCAAATTTTTTAAATAGATGTTGTTATGCTCAGTATTATCGTCAGCACAATCACTTTCGTAATTTCTAGAAGTTGAAAATTTTTGGATCTCCAAAAACTTAACGTGTCATTGGTCATGTTGTTCATTTTAACATTGTTGTTCTTGTGACCAGTGGTGATCTTCATTCATCTCAGCTTATTCTTACATCTCTTTCTTTTTCTAAGAATGCTCACATCTTTGGCCGCGAAAGTTTTTGAAAAATTTGCGCACGTTGATTTTTGGGATTTTTCAATATTTGATTTTTCAATAGACCATCATCGTAATTTTGTCGTTATCACTATCACCTTGTCATTAATGACTGTGTTGTCATCACCGTACCACAGTCATCATCATCATCATCGCCATCATCACAACATTTGTTGTTTCATTCTTTTTCAATTTACTTTAATTAATTAACTTAGCTAAAACTGATGAAGAAGGAGAAAAAGGAGTAAAACACAGAACCACAGCCATCTAAGAATTGCTGAAGCGATTTTCATTGAACAAAAAAGCCGCAAATCAACAAGCAGCAAAGAATAGCAACTTCATTACCGACCAGAAGAATATTAATGAAAGACATTACAAATAAACGGACAGGACAAAGCAGATTAAAAGCACTTTGCACACACGTTACGAAATCGTTGGAGGAAATGACGTCACGTCAACAGTGGTTATTCAGCAGTATAATGAACAAAATTTATAAAAGCAAAATTAATTAGCTTTGAATAAATAGTACTTGGAGCATTTCCTCACACAATGAACTGAATTCTCTTCAGTCTCAACTCAATTCTGAACTCTCGCGCTTGGATCTAGCACTTGTGAAGAAATGAAAAACTAAAAAAGCTCTTCTACATCGGCATACCGTAACAAATCAATTAAAATTCCATTGGCGCGTAGTAGTTACATACCATGGATAACATGTATTATCTAGAATTCTATGTTACATACCTACACGAAATTCTTCCGATGTAAAGAAGAACAAAGATATAAAAGTCAGACGAACGAGGCGAGGATTTGCTAGAATGGCAACAGTAAATCACTTCAAAACAATTACGCTTCTATTTATTTCCAAGATTTTAAAATCAATTTGGGAATTTGCGATTGCGAAAAATTACATTATGACTACAATGAATACCATCTGCTTTTTTAAATAGTAAAAATACGTCATAGTATATCAATCAGTCAAAAAACAATTAAAAAATGAATTGAAAAATAAAACAGCAATTCGTACTCATAATCGTGAACCTATTCAGAATGATGTTTAGTTCGCAAATGCTCTGAAATGTTCAAATCAGTTTGCAGTTTTTCTAAAAGGTTGATAAGAGAATCTCGCTCGACAGTTAACTTGTCGATGATCTCGTCCTTTAACTGGTTTTCTTTTTCAATTTTCTTTATAGTATTCAACAGTTTTACAAAAGAGCTGTTGCGTTTAAAAAGATCATACGGCAAATGTTATCAGTGAGTAAAGCAAGATCGAAAACTCGGAAGAAAAAAGTATATTTTTTAAATTAAAACGTCATACCAGTCTGTTTCTTTGTTTGACGTCCCCTTGCTTTCATGGCTGATGTCGCCAAAATTGAAATTTTCATCGATGTTGCAAGCAGCGTGCATTCCATCACTTCTCGCTTTTTAGTGACAAAGTTCGTTACAAATTATTAAAGTGGGATCATTAGAATTATCTAATTTGCAAAAGTGATATAACGCGAAAAACCTCCAGTCCCTCCACTGACAACAACATTGCCAGACTTATTTCTACTGACGACGATGCGTTCGAGCCACACCGCCTGATCACCTTCATTGCTCTGTAAAAAACACGTGTGTGCTTCAAGAAGTTGACGTTAATGAAATTATTACTGTTAATTTTTCTTACGGCTATATTTAGGCAAAAGTCATCAAGCGTCGCTCTGACTTTAAAACCATTTTCAAGATCGTGGCATTCTTTGCTATTAAAATTTTCACATGTTTCTTCTTCCGTTTTAATTCTGGCGTCTGATTCGGAATGATTTTCACCAGCCTCTCCACTGAGAGCTTCCACCAACTTATTCAAAAAGTCCTGTCGCATCTTCAAAACCAACTGCGCCACTTGAATATCAACGTAGCCAGCACAGCCGGCGTTGGAGTGTTTACAATGCATGTGCACCTTCACACAGCAGTCACTTCTTTGCTTGCTGTTGCTGTAAGTTGATGATTTGTTGTTATCATCAGCTGCCAAAATTAATAAATTACGATGAATTCAAGTGAAATAATAAACCACTAAGATATAAGCATAAAGTATCAATCGAATGTAGTAACTAACTTGAAGAGAAATCATTTTTAAACTGTTCATGGCTAACATTATGAAAAAAATTCGACTTCACATCAGTGACTCTTGCTAAAACTTCAGAGTGAACGACGGCTGCATTAATGTTGGAACTCAGGAAAAGTCGCATTGGACTTTCAATCATCAAATTTACTAAAAGTTCACTCGTTTGCAGCGTTATCGTTGATATGGACACCTGCATTCAATTTTTTAAAATTCCTAAAATTATTTAATTCAAAGGCTTAATCAAACCAGCAATTCAATTAATCAGCTGACCAGTTTTTTGACAGGACATGATGACGTCACGGACGAAGCTTCAGTTACTGCATCACTTTCGTCTTCTTCTTCTTCATCATCATTCCAGACTTTCTTCCTCACGAAAGCCGGACTCTCAGATTCAACTATCATCATCATCGCTTTTTCCTCTTCATCATTTTCGCCAACGTTCAGCTCCAGTTCGTCTGGCGTCAATAAAAAAAACAGCAAAAGGTTCGATGGGTCATAATTGACAACGAATGAAATAATAATATTTATGAAACATCTGTCAGACAAGGGCGGTGGTATCGAAGACGCGCGTCACGAATAAGAGCAAGTCAACTCGTCATGCAGAAACTTCGCGTGGAGCCCGCCATCTAGTTAGCTCAGTCGGTAGGAGTGCTATTTGGTTCGAATGCTGTTCGTCCGAAGCTCAAAGACTATGATACGACGACTGAGCTGCATTATAACGAATTAAAAAATTAATTAACTGTACACCAGAAAGATAAAACTGGTTTGACCGTAAATCACGTCCCAGCACCTCTAACATGTTACGATAAATGTGCGTCTGAAAGGTGATTGAATGTTGTCCTGCCGGATGAACAATGGAATAAAAAGGTCGATAAACTAACTTTGGTGTTGCTCTCGTAAATGGTCATCAACTTTCATCATTTTGGCGAAGGAGAGTAGAGAAGATGCAGAATTGTGCTTAATTTGGTTGAGTAACTTGATTGGTGAATGATTATCGACGACTTTGAACGGAAGACGTTGATTGGTTGATGCCAACGTGACAGAGCAGTTACTCATTTCGATGTTCGAATAACTTTCCCTCAATCTCGTTGGTGACGAAGACGACAACGCAGTTGCACTCAACATATCTGCTTCACACAACCCGTCCTTTTTGTGGCTCATATTTCCGCTGCTCTTGCCGCTAATGTGGCGGCTGCTGTTATCGTCCGCACGTGAACGAAAGTGTTCGTCGTGGTTTTTATTATCAAGAGGCGTGACTGGAGATTTGAGGACCGAAGAGGAGGAGGAGGAGGAGGAGATGGGGTAGCAGGAGGGCGATAATGACAGGATGTTCACTTCAATGTCAGGTATTAAGATTAAAGATTGAATTGTACATTTCATCAGCTCAGGGGCATCACCAGAATCTATCTCGCTCGCGAAATTTGCCTTCAAGTCTTTGTCAAAATTATAAAATGAATTTAATCCAAGAGGTCAATAAACAAATACGAAAATCAAAATATTATATTTCCATAAATACTCATGCAAAATATTTGATTTACAGAAATGCATCAATTAACCAGACTGGTTGTCCATCATCTCCTGCCAGCATTGGCTGGTCGCCTGAAGGACGTTCATTAAAAATTTTAAGTGTTGCACATCGATCACTGCTTTAATCTTTCTATTTGCATACATCAGAAGGCTGGCATGAGCCGTTAAATTTGTTCTAGGGTCCGAAGATGGCCATGATGGCAGTGATGATGACGACACACACTTGGCATGGTGGAAAGTGAACCAAAGAGTAAGAGAAAAAGACTGAACAAAGGCTTCCACTTTTAAAGGTCTGTGGGTCCTGTCTTTTGGGCTGTTATCCATGTTATTACCTTTTGCGTCGTTCTTACCATTAGAACCGTTCGAATGATAATTTTGTTGTTGTTGTTGTCGCTGCTGATGTTCTCGTGCACGTTGTTGTTGTTGTTGTTTATTGTGTAGAAGAATATCGGACCAGAGAGGATGGCAGGTGATCAGCCAATGCGAACACTGCCCTGTCGTGGTAGATTAAGTCATATCTACGTTTCAATAACATTGCACAGCACCCAGTCAAAGTTCAATTTCTAATAACTGCTCTTAATCATCATCATCCTTATAGCCATCATCATCCCCATCATCATCCCCATCATCATCATCATCATCATCAAGCACCTTCATCTTTTGTTAATTTTTCAGTAAGATAGCAAGCAGGCATGATAAGAGGCAGAGACGACGATGAAGACGACGACGACTTCAGAGGCACCTGCTTGTAGAAATGTGAATTTTCATACATTGTTGCGTGTTTCGCGTCACAGTCGACATGGGCGTTGGTCAGCAGCAAGCAGGAGGTTTGCAGTTGGAGCAAGGAAGCGTCGCCATGGTAACCTGCTGATGTGCTGCTAGGTAGGCAGATCTGATGGCAAGGAGTTTCACACATAACACCATCTAAATAAGTACCGTCACATTTCCAAAACTATTATCATCCCTCTCAAACCATACACCATCGTCATTTTATTATCATCGGCATAATAAAAAGGTCAATGGTCTCTCACACTCTCCTAAAACTTAGAAGAATCAACAACACACACACGCACGCTCACACACACACACACAAACGATCAATCACACCCAAAGGGAAATCTATTTCTTTCTCGTATTCAAACCCGGTCACCGCATGCACTGCTAAACAGGGCCAGGTGCCTTTAAACATAACCACTAGGTCATCACGCTGAAGAAGAGTAATCATGATCAACAAGAACTTTTTCATCGTAGCCGTTATAATTTGTTAATGACAAAGATCACAGTAGAAACCATCTTCTTCTTCTTTATCATCACCCCCATCGTCATCCTCATCAACTTCTTCTTCATCATCATCATCATCACCACACTTCTTATCATCTCAAACATACCCTGGGCATCACAGCTTTCAGCCTCACTCTCGTCCCACTGGACTTCTTTGACTCGAGTTTAGGCAAATTTTCCTAAGAAGTAAATTTTGAACAAAATTGAAAAACATAATCATCAGCTTCGTCATTGTCATCATCAAAAAAAATATGTAAAAAAAATAAAAACTTGATAATCATAATTTCGATCACGTTCTCACGCCAACAAATATTATAATTCAGCCAGCAAATATCATAATTTAGCCAGCAAATATCATAATTCAGCCAGCAAATATTTTAATTTAGTTAACATTCAGCTTCAAAAATGTAATGAATGATTTGATTGAAAAGATGAGAAAGAGAAAGACAAAGAAAGACAGAGACATACATACATAGAGACATACAGACAGACAAAAAGAGAAAACTTACGGCTTTCTTCATGACGTTGAGAATAAAAGTATGCAGCCAAACTAATGAGAGATAATCTACCGACAGACAGATCGGATTGATGGTTATGAACATTGAAGACGACAACTCCGACGATGGTCCCACGCTAGTGTAGTTGGTGACATCTACATGCAAAGTTGACATGTCCTGAGGTAGGATGAGTCGCTTCTTGTCCGAAGATAAAAACTTTTTGGGTTTTGATCTGCTCTTGTCGTGTTGCGTTGAAACTCTGTAGAGGCAAAAATCCTCGAGACTGACAACCACACATTCTTCCATCATGAAGGCAACACCCCTCGAAGGATCATTGACTGATGGTACGCAGGTACTCAGCTTACCATCAATTTGCAAGAATTTGTTGAACCACATTTCTGCCTCTCTGCTGCATTCGTTGAAGTGCAACCAACCACTTCTTGATGTTCCTTCAAATTTTATTAAAAAACCAGTAAAATGTTGAAGTACGGACTGTGTAGGGAATTAAATTACATCTCATTCCAATTCACTGAAAGGTTGATCTAACATGAACAACTTTTTACGTCAAACAACAGTCAGTCTACACAACGATGGAAACCCAAGATCATCTGCTGAGTTTGCATGCAATCTTTAACAAACTTTAGCTCAATAAACATCATTTAATAAACAATTCTAAGTGATGCAAACAATGAAGTTGACGAATTAAGTAATGATGTTAATGACTGTGGTGCAGATGCAAGCCAACCTGCTTTCCTCCACGGATAGTAACTGAATTCTAACTGGATGATGACGAGCTGCATGGCCCCGCCTTCCACGTGACTTCTGTAACCTTCATTCTCTGTTTCATATTCCGTTCAATCCATCTATTTAATCATTTCTGCACACATCATCAATCCATCCGTTCGTTCATTAAGCGTTGTAAGATACAGACAGACATAGTAACACACAGATATACATATACACAGACAGACAGACAGAAAAACATACATACACAGACACAGACAGACAGATAGACACCTTGGTGAGCGTCGTCAGAGAGGTGAACTTCTGATCTATTGATGATCAAATGACATGATGATTCTGAAATGTTGAACTTATTAAACAGCATCAAGCTAGCATGCTGCTGCTGCTGTTGTTGTCGTGCCAGTTCTTCATATTGTTCTCCTTTTCGATGAAAATGTTGCTCAGTTTGTTGTTTTTGTGGTTGAGGTTTTCGTCGTTGTTGTTGATTTGGTTTAGGATTTGCATCTTTCAGGAGCAGCTGAGATGACAACCATTTGGGAAAAGTTAATACGCATTGTGCTGCTTAATAAAAATTAATGAATACAGATTATTTTGGAGTAAAACGAGGAAACGAAGGAACGTGAGTAAAGGAGTTTAAGAAATAACTAAAAAAAAAACCAAAATGTGACAAGAGAATGAAAAAGAAGAGACCTGTGGGTGCGTGTTGATGATGTTCATGAGGTCCTGCACAAAAGACAATGCAGCAAACAACTGACTATCCGTCACGACCCACAGCAAATCATCCATGTGCAGTTCAATTCTCGAGGTCAACACTGAGGAGTCTTTTGCGACCGAGGTTTGCAAACATACTTACATATACTACACTGTACACTAATAATCGCCAAATAAATACACACACACACACACACACACACACACATATTATAAAATTGTACGAACGTATATCGAATGCATGCATGTCGCATATACAGTTATTAAGAAATATCTATCACAGCATTTTCCATATTGTTGAGTTTGTAACTGAGTTTTTCAATTTTTCGAACAATTATTTTATCGATATTATTCAAATTAATAATAAAACTTCTAATTATATTAAACTGCATTTTTCATAAATTCCTTTACATGAAAGCTTTTTTCGGTAACCTTCACCATCATCAGTGTAATAGAATTTGTGATATTGTTATACATAATTCGTCAGGTATTTATAGTATTTTTAACAAAGTAATTCTAAGTTTTATTGTGTCTTTGTGTGGATGTTTATTACAGGGTTTCTATTTTCTATTAATAAAGCCTCTGCCATTCTCAAATTGCTTATATTATGGTTGTAAAATTACACTTTGGTATTTGAGTTTAATATTTTTTATTGGTGCGAATCCATTAGATGATTTTTATTGCACCATTTTGTGTATTCGTTTTTAACCTTCTTGATAAAGTAATAGTAGTAGATCCGATATATATATATATATATATATATATATATATATACATATATATATTATATGTGTGTGTGTGCGCGCGTATATATCACATAGACACATGAACGACTAAAATTATAAACATGAAACATTTAGAGAGGATTATATGAGTAAATATATTTGTAAAGATGTCATTAAATTAGTTAGTGTTGCAGAGAGCAGATTTCTAACCAGAAAGGTTTTTCTTAAGAGTTACTCGAATTTTTGATTGGTTGGCAATGAGTCTCAGAGGTGTGGTGGCAATCCAACTAGCCAATGCATTGGCTTCAATTCGAACAGCTTGCCACTGAACTTGCTTGAAGATGAGAATGGAGCCTTCTGATTGGTTCTTGATGCGAGTGTGGTCGAGTGAGGCACTCCTCCACGCCGGCGTGCAACTATCGACTGCCACCTGCGACATCTGCAGTTCATTTGGTAATATTTATCGTTACTCATCATTCATTTTTGTTCAGGTTCCTACTCGTCGTCTGGTGGCTGCTGGATCTTTGTGTAATTGGATATCTCACTTATGTTTCTATAAAATTTGACATTAATAAGTAGATCAGTAACGAATCCATCAAAGCATCTCAAACAGCCATCAAGATGTTCAAATTCAATCACATATAAGTTAATCACAGTAAACAAGACAACGTAGTTCATAAATAGAGTTCATGTCACTGACAATTTGATTTATTATATAAGATACAGACATGGGCAAAATTACAGACAGACAATCAGACAGACATAGACAGCACAAACCGACTTGGAATGAGGCCTGGAATGAAAGCGACTTGAAGTTGATGTTGATGGCGTTGATACTGACTGATATGCCATCGAGGACCTGCTCAATGTAGCCATACTTCCCTGTGCTAAACATTGAATCATCGTCATTATTTGACCATTTTATAATTGTTGTTATTGCAATCAAAAACAACAATTGTTTAACATTCCTGTCAAATAGTTATTACAGCAAAACATCAGCACCATCATATTCCATCTCTCCTCCATTAAATTTCTACAGCTTTATCACATCATGAATAGAAATAATTATATGAAACGAACCCAAAAGCTGATTTGGAAGAAGTTCTGGAAGAAGAAGAAGACGAAGATGATGGCGGTCGGTAGTAGCATGTTTCCATGTCAACTGTCACTTCATCCAAGTGCTGCATAAACATTAAACCACCATTGCCATCATCATCACCACCATCAACATCATTACTATCATCATCTTCATGACATCACCATCATCATCATCACCACAATAACATTGTTATCACAGTAATGTAGGAGTTGTAAGACGATGTTTTTAGAAGATTGAATAGTGAATTCACCAATTAGCCATAAACCTTCATTTCAAAAACAAACCAAAACTATCGGCTGTGTGTTTAGCTTCATCCACTGAATCTGAAAAAACATGACCACGGTATTTCATCAACATTGGAAGAAAAAACAACAAAAAACCAAATACATGCAAAGATAATTTGAAAATAGTAAAAACCTTGATAGTCATCTTATTGCAGAATGCTCTGTAGATTCTGATCCATGGCGGCATGTCGAGAATGTTCATGAGGACGATTTCATCCAGCTCAAGGTTCATCAGATCCCCTTCGCCTTTCATGGCGCTCAGATTTATCTGGTCAGCTGACATATTCTTGGTAAACCTGCGCAATTTCAGTTATTATTCCCTAATTGGAAGGTGACAATTTATTTCTTCCAAATTAAAAAATACCTCCACTGCAGTTAGAAATATGAAAAGTATGGCGATTGAAAATTAGAAAGTAACTAGCTGTTCAACATGTGATTTAAAAACAAGAAACAAAAAAAATAACCCAACAGCTTACAGATTAAGTATAAAAATTATTACAATCTTCATCTAACTACTGAGAAGAATGTTGTTACTTTTGTTATTTCATTAGAGAAGTGTTATTTACAACATCTTGTTAAAACTCATAAAAGTTATTTAACAAAAATAATCCTTCCTGGCTCCATGGAAATGCAAGCAAATATATCATTCACTTACCCATCCCTGATCAACTAGAAATTCATAATCAAAAGAAAACTGAATTTGCTCATTAACATAGGAATATGTTTTTAATAATTTAATTGATTGAAACATTTATTAATCAATAAAAATAAGTCAACAAAACTGACCGAATAAAATTATGATTCAACAAAATCATGAAAATCATTTAATTTAATTAATATATTTAATTATTAATATAGCTACTAAATATAGTTATAGTCATACAGTTACTAATCCTTCTTGAATAATATTATGCTCTATATATTTTATATATATATTCTATTCTATACATAACATTTTACTTATTTCATGTTAATCATTCATCTTGCTTGTTTTATTTCCAAATTACATACATATTAATTTGAAAAGCATCACTAACTTGGAAAGTTGCTTCAGTAGCTGGTTCTTCAATAGGCCACTCATGGCTGCCAGTGCTTTTTAATTTAATTAAATTGAATCGTTTGTTTACTGTCTGGCACTCAATCACCTAATCCCCTAATGATCTGTTATTTATTATTAATTAGGAATGCGATAACAAAACTATCTTACTTTACTTAACAGATAAAATATATTAATAAAGTATTATATATTTAAATTATAATATGTGGTGTCAAATATAATGAAGAATCATACAACATACAATGTGTACATACACTGTGTGTCATACTGTATTAATAATTCAACAAGATTTAGAGTTATGTTAGTAATTAGTTAGTTTGGATTTTGGAAACATTTATGGTTTTTAGCTGTTTTTTATTCTCATTGTCATTTCAAATTTCCATAAATGCCAGTGCCATTCTTTCTGCAATAGTGCAATGTTTCTCTACTATTTCTACTATACCCTACAATTTTCATTTTATTTTTTATTAAAAAATGTTACGTTAACAACTAACAGTTGCTGCTTCCAGCTTTCATAAATCCACAATTCGAAAATTTTCGTACATCCCTAAGCAAACCGAAACCCTGCCCCTACTAACCAAACTAAATAAAAATAACCACAGCCCGTATTTGCACAACAGCGAATCAGTGACATCCAAAGTTTACTTTTAATCACTTAGAAGATGTCTTGTAGACTCATTCTAGTTATTTATTCTTTCTTGCTGGCTTGTCGCTTACACGATATAAATATTTCGATAAGCATATATGCGCATACACCGTATATATAGATTATAACATAATATATATAATATTTGTTATATTCTATATACGTGACATACAATACAATACAATTTTATTCGAACCTCCTCAATGAAAAAAAAGAACAAGGCTCATGGTGACCGTGAAGAGTCAATAAAGACTCATCGAGCGAGCACAGCCACCTTTTCAATCGACAAAGAAAAATAAAAAAATACAAGTCTTAAAATTATAAATATGTGTCTAATTTTGTACGAGAATTATACTAACACTTTGGAGAGAAAGATACATTACTAAAATTACTAGAAAGTTATAAAATATTTTCGAGATGTTATTATCAAAAAGAAATAAACCAAAATATCGGCAAATATTAAATATTAGGCAAAATAAAGAATAAATTATAAATACCTCATTCTATTACACTCATTCTAATACTTCAATGATCCAACATAAGTCAATTAAATCACTCAAACAAGAAACACACCGCACACGATTCAACTACCAGCAACGATTCAATCATCATCAGTTTAACACACTTACAAGAAAAACATAACTTAAAGTATCAATATATAGCAATCATTCATCGGCTCAATAATACCAATTCAACAAAACAAACCAGAAACACACCACTCGCAGCCCCACGTTATATAAAGTTGTATATAGTTACATAGAGTTATATAGGGTTAGGGGCAGGAGCGCTCTATACAAAACTAAAAAAGAAGAAACAAGAAGGAAAAGAGTAGGACCGCCATGGAAAAGCAAAAGTTTTTATTCTGCGTAGATGAAAGTAAGAACTCTAGTAACACTATCAATCTGAGAAGAAAGAGACGTGCTAGAATCAAAGATAGAGCATGGACTGCGAAACTTGTAAGAAACATCGAGTTTTAGAATCAGGTAAGATAATAGGAGGAATAGTAAGAGTGTTTAGAATTGTGAAAAAATTCAAATTCATTGCTGTAACACAAACACAACTCACCATCAATTACCTAATACGCGTGTACTTTCTTTGTACCGACACAATACATAATACAAACAAATCAAGACAACCAAATTTGACATATTTCTCGAAGAAGGAACGCCAAATTAAATATTCTGCACCAGGCTGCTAAACAAAAATTATTCTATATATTATTGTAGAGTCAACATTAAAAAGTTAACAACTTTCCTTTACAGTGAAACATTAAATACGAAAAAAATTGAGATTCCTGTGTAGGCCACGTTCACAACTTGTGGAAACTCTCTTTTATATTTTGCCAGACCGTCACATTCTGAAACAAAATCAAACTCAGTCATAACGTGAAGTTAGAATAGAACAACTTATTTCAAATAAATATTAATCATCCAATCACCTTTTTTGATTTTTCAATCTGTACAAACGCCATCCTAAGCAAAATGTGACTGATGTCTGAATTTTTTTCAGCGTGAAAACGCCGAATATCTTCCGTGGCCGTTTCACAGGCGTTCCTACATACGTACGAAATTATTTTATCATTATCTTGGCCATGATTAAAACACAAGTCAAAGTAAAATATTATATCATGTTAAAAATTATTAAACAAGCATGGCTAATAAAACAAGTTGGAGGCACGAAAATAAAGATGATGCTGACGACCATAAATGTATTGAAAATGACGAGGACGATGATGATGAAGATAAAAAAATGTGTGGTGAGAAGTAAACTGATTGGTTAACTTGGTGTCCCGTTGTAAAGCATGGAACATCTCTTTGGAGATGTGAATATCGTGTTCGATGCATTTCAAATGAGCCTCCCTCTCTTCATTTGATTCGCAACCAAATATCCGCTCTTTCATATTTTTCATTAACGAATTCTTGACACCTACACCTTCCATCTGTCTTTCTTGCTGCTGCTGCTGCTGTAACTGGGAATCGTGCGAGTGATTCAATTATGGTGATTGAGGAGACCGTCACGTATATATTATAATTTGGAAATAAATACAATATGAATGGACTGAATAAAAATGAACAAATAATAGTAATTAAATGCACAGGTGAATGAATGAATGAATGAATGAATGATCGAGTGAATGACAAAGAGGGAAAAATAATAAACTTAGCACCCACCACCAAGTTCTTCTGGCTTTCTTTATTCCTCAAACTTGCCTCCAACTCTTCACTATTTAGTAGCATCATCTCTTCTCTGAGACAAACTTTTCTAACAGAAAATGTTATTTCAGTGAATAAGTCCATTCAACAACTTTTTAAAAGTGGATAATTATCATCCCTGTTATAATCATTACAACTTTCGTCGCCAATCAATAAATGTATTTTGTGTGTTCAAGAGATCCACTAAGAACTTTGTGAAAGAGAAGCAGTAGTTCAAAAAAGAAGGCAGGGTTCCAGAAAAAGAAGAAAAGGCCCATTTCGATAACAGTGTCTAACTTTTAAAAAAATGTAAGAAAAATAAAAAAGCAAGAAAGATAGTATGATTGTGAGCCACAGTGTACAAGCTTAGTTAGAAGACCACCACCATCATCATCATCGTCATCATCATCGTCATCGTCACCATCATCAGTGGCAGTAATTGAAAATATGAAGACCTCAATGAATGAACATAACGCAGGCAGTCATGAAGGGACTCCATTAAAACATCTTCCTCGTCCATGAATGGCTCGACGTTCTGAGAGAACCTGTAATGCAACAAACCAACAGCATTGACTGGCCTGTTAATTAGGAATAATTAGGCAACGAAGGAATGGCTGTAACTCATGTTGTTATAGACGCTCCATTAAAAGAGAAATTAAAAGTTTTTGCTGGTGGTTATCTTATCACCAGGGCGCGAAACAGACGGTTGTTTGTTTTCAAAATGCCTGCATCCCTCAATACTACATTCAAAAATAAAACTTGCATGCCACAGTTCATATGTTGAGTAGAAAACATGAATAGACGAATCAATGAACAAAAACATGAATGGAGTTGTTAGTAAATGAATGAATCAACTAATAAACGAATGAATGGACAGACGCATCGAGGTAGTGACTAGCGGCTTGCAGCCCCCCAAAGCCATCTTCAACTGCCCACCATTCAATCATCACTTTCCCATAATCTCCGTGGTAACGATGAACAATATTTTCGCTGTTCAAGATTCTCTGTTCATTAAATTGAGTAACTCAAATTAATCATTTATTAAATGTATCAAGAGACATTAACATGGCAAAGCATGGGTAGAGAGAGACACACGCATGCATATCGACAGGCACCCACCCCTCTTATCTTGATGAGAGTGTTGATACAGCTGATGACGTTGTCACTGTATATTTTTTCCTTGTGCAACTGTTCATTCCCATTAAGTGATGAGCCTTTCTTCTTCTTTATCGCCATCATTATCGAAGTCAGTGCCTTGAAATCTGTCTGCCGGTGGTTTCATGTTATCACAAAACATGTTCAAAACTTTAAAAACTGTTTTGTAGCGTTCATTTTTGTTGCAAACACATTCAAGCGTTGCAAGGACACCGTGTATAATGATTTTTATAAACATCTACAGATTTGCATTCATTAATGATTAAGTACCTTGCTCTTGCAGTCACATGCAGCCAATCTATCTCTCCATATAGCAGAATCCTTTATTTTAAATTTAATTAATTTTATTTAATTAAACGCTGATCATTCCAAATGAACTTCATCGAAAATTAACACAAATTAATTAATCACCTCGAATAGAAAGCAGAAAAATATCTTGTCCATTGAAAGAATTTTGTGTTTGGCTATCCTCATGAGAAATTTCTTTGTTTAAAAAACACATTCAACAATGGAATTTTAACAAAAAAAATCAGAGATAATTTAATAATATTTTATTATCAGTTACATTTGAACAAAGCACAAAGATAAACAACTCTTCCTCAAACAAAGAATAAATAAACTTGAACCTCCAGGCCTATCCTTCTTTTTTCAATGAAATCACTTTCAGTTCTGTTATATAATGACAGAGGAATTGAGGACCTACCAATGAACTGAGGTGCCTATAAATTAAATTCAATAAAAAACATTTCACATGTTACAACAGGAATTTACTAAAATGTAGATAACACTATTTTTAACAAAAAACAACCTTTTTATAAGGCAAAGGGGGAATAATCAGGTTGGGGTAGAAAGATATTAAATAGTTTCTGAGAAGTTCAAATTCCGAATACCTCCTCCAACAGCTGGTTGGTGCATCACCATATTTAGGCATGTTGCTGTCGATGACCCGGGTTTCAATGCAGTAAACAACATAAGACTCTTTCATGTTTGCATTTCTTTTTTCAGGATCATTCACTGTTATCTCCAGCCATAAGTGCAAACTCTAAAAATTTTAAATTTTTTGATAATTAGATTTATATTTAATTATTATCTTCCCATGAATTATGAATACTACTTATTATTTACCTATACCAACTTTTTTATATTTGTGTATTTTTAATAATTCTATTGCTATTCTATAAAAATTTATTTTTTTATTAAAGTAACTGCAAGCTGTATCCTATTTAATTAACATAATTTTAATTAAATTCTAAATAATTCATAATGACAATGAATGAATGATAATGAAAAAGCAAAAGTACAAAAAAATGTTATCTTGAACTACAATTGTGAACTGAACTCAATGGCAACATGAACATGAATCTCACACCTTTCTATCATGATTAGTAGGAGGACTAGTTGCAGTAGGAGTAGAATCACTGACACCACCAGCATCTGCTGCTGATGAAGTATCCACACCAACAGACAAGCCAGCTGACATTTCAATTTAATTTAAGACATGATTTGAGAAGAACTTGAGCTTTTAAATTTTAATTAATAAATCAGCGATATTATAAAAAAAAACTCTTCAGCCGCAAACTACGAACGACACATTAATAACTTTTTTCGTAAGTACAAAAATTGAATTAAATTTACTTTTAAAACAAATTAAAACATGCACAGCCAAACAGATTTTCAGCCATTAAACGAGTGTTCGAATTCCAGGTACACGGCTTCTACTCCACCAGCCATGCACCGAGAATTTTGAACGTCGGATAAAAAATTTTTCCAATTTCTCGCTGCTTCTTCTGTTTCGAAATGACCTCCGTATGGCGTCAAACGACTTGCAACTGCAATACAAAACCCAACTCATGCAACTCAATAATTGTTATAACTCAATTTAAGGCCACATTGGAAATAATTGATATTAATCATGATATAATAATAATGTCTCTCTCGATTTAAACGTCAATGAAATTACATCATGTGCTAAAAACATGTGAAAGCAATCAATTACATTTTCCCCACATAAATAAACACATTTCTGTACAAATATAAATATTACATCAAAAAGTTTTCAGGCACAAATTGTATACTGCATATTTGACCAATGTGGAGATATCGGAGCTGAAATGGACTTCTCAACTCAACGGAAGAGATTGGGAAAAATGTATCAAAGTATGCACACACGTAAAATAAAGTTCATCACAAAATATAAACTTTACACGAATAAACAAAAATCACGTTAAAACGACCGCCCACTCAAATATAACAAATTAATTTTAACTTGTGCCAGCCACCTTCATCATTTCAACTTCAGAGGTATTGCTCAAATCTAAAGCAGTTATTCAACCATCGTAGGACATACTGACCAACTTGTCAATAATTGAAAAAAAAAGGATTTGTCCTAAAATCAAAAACCTCAAACTGTCTGCTGACACGGACGGGCTGAAGAATTTGTTACTCCGCCGTGAAACGTTCATTTCAAGTTAATTACAAATAGAGTCCACAAAAATTACATAACCCAAGTATGTTAACGAGTGGAAATACGGCTGATCATTCATCAACATGCAAGATGTTGTAAGGCATTTTATAAAACATCGTTTAGTTGCATGATGGTTAACGTCTAAATATATGGCAATTATTTGAAACGAAATCATCGCCTGATACTAACTAAACTGAACTAAAGTAGACAATGAAAAAAGAAAACCATTATAAAAAACTTTGACTGCCAGGCAAATAAAATAATAATATTATTAGTAAAAATAGATTTCAGTATTTGAGAAATGACATGACAGTAGTGCAAAAAATGAATGAAGATGAATTGAACCAATTATAAATTATCAAAAAGACTGGAAAATAAATGAAATTGCTAGTAACAATAGAAATTCTAATAATAAATTTGAATTTCTCGTTGAATTGATTGGTTGACATCTGATCAGGTGACGAGTTTGAATCTTCCGTCCAACAAACCATCCGACCAATCAGTGAAGTGAATGAATGGCGACGCGAATTCTTCAAACATCTGAAGTCGGCAGGTTTTCTTGCTGGTGCTCGTGATCTCTTGTCTGCTGTTGTGTGGTCGAGAACACGATGGTCACCAGATGCAATTAAAAACAAACAAACAACCACGTACAAACGCATACTAATACACACACAGACACACATCACCACGGCTTTCGTACGGATGAAGATACACATTTTTTTTCTTTTTTTCTCACGCATATAAAGTTCTAAACACAACAACAAAACATGAATGCGTGGATACAAACATAATAATGCACACACACACTTTCATTTTATATATTGAATAAACCAAAAAAGAGGGAATAAAAAGAAGGAAAGAAGTAAAAAGAGCAACCCGAACAACCTGCTTATCGATAGGAGCGACAGCAACTGCGCTGTTGGTGTTTGTGGCAGTCGTACAACCACTGGCGTAGAGGACATCTGGCGTTTTGTTGGAGAGGCTTTCCAGTTTGAAGTTCTGCAATGATTTGAGGTGCAGCGGGCAGACAAAATCATCACGCATTTCAGAAGTGCGTGGTCGAAATAAACCAATCTTCTTGCTGGGCTGTTCAATCAGTTGTTAGTTGTGCGTGGAGTTGTTGTGGTGTGTGGTAGTGGTTGTTGTGCGTGGGGTTGTTGTGGCGAGGTTGTGGTTGTTGTGATGTAGTTGTTGTGGTGAGGTGTGATTGTTGTGGTGTGTTTTTTATTTATTCTTTAAAAAATCAGACTCTGAGACGCGGAATCCGTCAGAGCAAGCAATTTGCTCTGACGGATTCAGACCATATCGAATCAAGCATTCATGCTTGTTTAAAGAATTATAAATGAGAAATGCAACCCTTTCTGGTGAAAAAGAACAGACGGGCTGAGAATGGAGAGATAGTTGGAAGGAAGCGTAGATGAAAGTAAGTACGATGGATGGCAGTATGAAATGAATGAATGAATAAAAGTATAAATGAAGGAAAGAAATGAAGGAAAGAAAAAATGAAAGGAAGGAAAGATAAACATTAGAAAGAAATAACCTTGACTTTTTGATTTGTTGAGAGTGGTATATAGTTGGCCTCATTCTCAACACTCCTCTTCATTTGTTGCACTTCACTGCCAACCAGAGATACAAAATGTGTCGTAAGATGGCGTCTTAGTAGCGTCTTGTTTGACGGGATGGACAGTATCGCCGCCAGAACATCGGCACTGAACCTCGGCTCCAGAACCTGGGCGGGCGGAAAAATAAATCCATTAATCAATCCATCAACCAATCCATTAAAAAATCCACCAATCAATCCACCAATCAATCCACCGATCAATCCATCAACAAACAATAAAAAAGTGGACGATCATTAATTAATTTGATCAGCCCAACTAAAAATGATTTTGAAGGAATTTTAAAATGAAAAACGAATAAGCGAACGCACGAAAGAAATGAATGAACAAACGAACGAAAGAATGAACTAGAGAAAAAAGAATGAATGAAAGGGAGGAAAGAGAGCGAACCATCAATCCTCCGTGTACCCCGCTGCCTCTCAGGTTGGGTGAATATTCAGAGAGGTCGATGCTTCTCAGCCACTCCATCACCCTGTGGTTTGTCCAGGTGCAGACCTCATGCGGGCAGTTCTGCAGGACCATCTGCACGTTCCAAATATTCAGCGCACTCTTTATTCAATTATCATTTTGTTGTGATGCAAGAAGATGCGGGCGAGGCATTAAGCCCATACGCCCGACCCTCAAAAATGATGAAATAAAATAAACATTGAGCATACACCAGCACCTAAATTTGTACTCAAATACTTATTCTTGGGTACTTGCGAAGAATCTGCCGACATTTAAAGACGGCACACGCACCACTGTGGCACGCCAGTGGACAAGTCGCAATAAACTCATTTGAAATTCTACCGTTGCCTATGAAAACACACTATGATTGCAATTAATTCACAGGGTCAAATTACATATTCAATTACAATCATTATTATTTTAATAGTATAATGATATTAATTAATTAATTAATTATGGTTATTTGAATTGGGCAAACAAATGGTTGCATTCAAGTACTTATATTTTTCAGTACTCGATACTCAGACTAAAGTACAATTTCAAGTACTTAGCCCTGCCAGTTGAACACACCTCACGAGTACTTACGTCAACACTGGTATAGATAGTTGAGACAAGTGGCAAAAACTTGAAATAGAAACATAACAATCGGATCAACTTCAACAAAAAACTTATAAAGGAAATTTCCAGCCTAAATTTACTGATCTATACGTATTCATAGATTCTGTTTGATCTGATGGAATGTTGAGATATTTGAAGGAGGTATGTATGCAGAAGAGGAAGTGGCGACAACCTCCTCATTGGATGCTGGCCTCCTCTTCAGGGCCTGCGCGTCGAAGTTGTGGTGTCTGAGGACCTGGATGCCGCATTTGAAGCTCATATGATGCATCAAGCTCATCACCTTCAAGTTCTGCAGGTCCTCCTGCTCATTCATTTGTGCGTTCGAATATTTTTTCATCTAATCAAAAATTAAAACATATTTTATATCTATTCAATTCATAATTCATTCATTCATTCATTTCTTCATTCAGCTATTCAAATAATTGTACGATTATTCAGCAAAATATTTTTTAAGCAATAGTAATTTTTTATGTGGTAAATATAGAAGAAAATGAAACACAGATAGTCAGATGGCAAGACTGAAACAGATGAAATAACAATCGAACAAAAGAACAACGAGATACAGAGATACACAGAGAAACGAAGAGACAGACACAAAAAGAAAGAGAAAAACAAAGGAAGACATAGAAAGACAGAGACAGAGAGAGAGAGAGAGAGAGAGAAAGAGAGAGAGAGAGAGAGAGAGAGAGAGAGAGAGAGAGAGAAGAATGGACCGAGAAATACTCATGAAGCAACAAACATTCGTGAGATAGTTGATCATGCAGCCGTCAATACGAGCATCCAAGAACTGATCTTTATACTGCGGCAGTCCTATGTCGTCGAGCCACTCTGCATGTTCACGCGATGGCATCATGATGAGGTAACGAGCAATAAGGGTGAAGTGGTGATGATAATATATGAAAATATGAATTTATAATCTCCATCACTTTTTATTTTCATTAAATTTTACTTTTGCCAGCCTTGTAGCATTTTCTCATGGAATTTTGTTGTCAGTCAAAATTTCGTTCAGCTATAATTACCCCGTACAGATGAACATCTCAACCATTTTCATCGTGATATCAACTCGACGACAATCACCATCAGCTCACTCACTTTGCACCCAGTTGTGGTCGAGGGAGATGACGGGAGAGGTGGGGTCAGATGTGATGACCTGCATCGCCAGTTGCAACTTCTTCCTGTGGAATGCATTCTTCATGCCCAACTCCTTCAAATAGATTCATACATGAACAATAGAAACACGTCACAACACGCATCATCGTGCAATACACACACACACACACGCACACACACGAAAGTGGCACATATGTTCGTTCAAACACCTTCTCGAGATCATGCGAGGTAGCAGTGAGGAGCTGCTCTCCTGATTTGAGCCATCTTTTGCACTCCCCAGCGTAACAACTCAATCCCATGCCATGCATCCACAGTGCTATCCTATCCGCATCCCAACTGCTGAATGAATTCTTGTCCATCGAGTTTTTCAATCTTTTAAGTGAATATATATATATTCAAATGTGAAAAAATGCTAAAAAAAATAATTTTTCATATGTGAAAGTGAATTACGTAGAACGTTCGCGGACCACAAATAAAATGGCCGCAACTTGCCTGCCTCTGTCTGAAGCAGTCCACTCAAATCCAAATATTTCATTTATTCTACCATAGGAGATGTTTAATGATTAGGTCGAGGTACGTGACGAGAATTAAATTTTGTAAAGAACAAATTAAATCGAACTCAATGGTGAAACTCGACCGCGTTGATAAGAATAGAACGCAACATGTAAATGAAACTGAAACGCACGTAAAGTTCCAACTGACAACTTAGTGTATTCATGTGAAAAATTAATGAAATCAGTTAATCAAATACGGTTAAGGATATTAGCATCTAACTCAAAATTAATCCTATTGTTGTTGGTGTTCCATCCCAATCTTGGCCCAGCAGTTGACCTCAACGCTGACCTTTTGAACTCTTCCATCTTTCCATCAAACTCCTGTGAATTGCTCCTCCTTAACCTAGAACAAACGAATAAAATATCCTTCATTAATTTTCAGTCGGTGAGTCCTTTACTTCTTCATTCACTTCTCAATAGTCCGAAAATTTGACACTTGGGAACCCATATCAGAAAATTAATTAAGTAATTAATCAGTCAACTAGAGCATAAATTATGTTAATGAGAGAATATGTGAACCTATGAAATAGCCTCTTGATGGTTTTAGCTGTTGATGATTTCTTCTTATCTTGTTCCTGATTGGTTGGCTGGTTTTGCATGGCCTTGAACTCTTGGGCAAGTTCGTCCTTCAACGTCTCGTCTCCATTCGCGCCGCTGTTATTGTTGCTCATACCTACATCATCATCATCACCACCATCAACATTGGACCATCTGATTGTCGTAACTATCTTAATTATATCTTAATTAGCAGACATTAACATCGACCGAGAAATTTTTGTTTCAAATCAAAATGTGTTAGAGTTGCATGCACGTACAAGCAGCAATCACGAACGTTTTCATTACGTAGGCATGTTTTAACGCATGTTCGCTTGCGTATGCACGTTTCTACATAATACTTTTTACAGAAATTGATGAAGCGGCATTAATTCAATTTGTATCAGATTTAAAATAATTCGTTGAGTCTTGCGAAAGATGTGAAAAGATTTTAAACTAGGTTTGAGACTAGTATAGGCAAGTAAATGAAGCCATAGCCACAAGTATCATAAGTTATAACATAAGATGCAACTGACTCCCAGAACCGGCTCCGGTCGGATTTTTGTTTTTAAATCTGGTACAGTCTTAATAAAAATACCCATGTTTCATGTATGCTTGGTAAAAATATATATTGCTATGTGCATGTGCGTCTGTGTGTGCTTTAACGAGAAAAGTAAAAATTAAATGTGCAAATTTATAGCAAACTGATGAAACATTAACGCCACTTAACATGCATAAAAATCAATGATGGAGAATATAATGAATGAATGAACGTGTGAATGAATGAACGTGTGAATGAATGAACGTGTGAATGAATGAACGTGTGAATGAATGAACGTGTGAATGAATGAACGTGTGAATGAATGAACGTGTGAATGAATGAACGTGTGAATGAATGAACGTGTGAATGAATGAACGTGTGAATGAATGAACGTGTGAATGAATGAACGTGTGAATGAATGAACGTGTGAATGAATGAACGTGTGAATGAATGAACGTGTGAATGAATGAACGTGTGAATGAATGAACGTGTGAATGAATGAACGTGTGAATGAATGAACGTGTGAATGAATGAACGTGTGAATGAATGAACGTGTGAATGAATGAACGTGTGAATGAATGAACGTGTGAATGAATGAACGTGTGAATGAATGAACGTGTGAATGAATGAATGAACGTGTGAATGAATGAAAAATTATAAGCCAATCAAAACATTAAAGTTAAATTAAGCTGAATATTCAGGTGACAATTGTAGAACGATTAATAAAAATGTTGACGATCATTCTCATCATCATCATCACCACATCACCAGCATTCATCATCGTCGTCGTCATCGTGATTGCTTGCTATCAAACAATTACCGGAGAAATTGAAAACTTGAATCATGCATACGAGGCTACTGACTACTTTCTGAAAAAATATTACCACCAGAAATAAATCTGAAGTTGATTTGTCTCATGCGGACTGAAAAGTATGAGGCGTGTGAAATGGGTGAGGCTTGAAAAGTAAAATAGGTGATGCCAAGACTGAATTGAAAGCCTGGATGGAGAGCACGACGCGGTACATGAAGGAAGCAGCACGACATTAATCAAGCGTTGCATGTATAATATAATGATAGTTGCTCAAATAAATAATATTAAAAGCTGGTGAACTGCGTATCATTCTGAAGCACGAGATAGATAGATAGAATAGATAGCTATGTAGGCAGGTGATAGACGAGCATCACACGAATATTTGAACATGATCCATTGTTAGCATAACAAACGTGTTAACAGACTGCATGACAAGCCTTCCCTTCAAAATATATGACCTAACCTAAAAATCTTCTCGAGAAGTCGACCTTAGTACTTGACCTACTTTTAAAAAATAATTCTTTTGCTGATTCCTTCTGCTTAAATTGAACACCAACATCATAATTATAATCAGCAACAACAGAAGAAGGATCGGCATTACGATTGGCACCATCACCAGGAGCGACTACAGTATTAGTAGTGAGGGGGTTGTGAATGTTTTGAAGGGATGACGGGGAGGGCGATGATGTAGATTTCATTGCTGTGTGATTGCAAATATATGGGTAATCTTTCGGTAACGTACCAGATGCTGGACTGCTTGCTGTTGTAGTTGTATTTGTGTTGTTGTTGCCGTTGACAACCGTTGGCAAGAGCAGAAGTTGCCTTTTGCTTGCTGGTGGTGTCTGCAAGGAAAATAAAATATGAAAAAATGTCGATATTGTGTTGTGCTACAGCTGCACGCTAGCCACACTGTGGTTGTCTACTGCAGTGCTCCGCAAACTTTCGGTCGTCCGTCCGGTGTTCAATTTATTTAAGAGGCATGACGCCGACCACCAGCAGACGAATCGCGCAAGAACTCGCGTACACGCACGCACTCATTTTATTCAGAATAAAATAACAACCATTCAGCATTTTAAAATGAAAATTGTTACGTGCGACGAATGAGCTAGCTTCTTTTTAATGATTTCCTAGAAGCGCAGTTGAGATGGGGACAGTGCCACACGTGGCGATGATCAGACATCCACTGATACAAACATTTTCTGTACCTGGTTGGTCTTCATCACAGACGTGCATGAAAAACAAATCTCACGTAAATAGGTGGCGGCAAACGAAACAGTTGCTATTGGGCTCTGTCTGTGAGCTCTGGATATTCTGATCTGACGCTGATCAAGAAATAAGCGAATGAAGATGTGCTTTCGAACCGCATTTTCAATCGTTGCATTAAGCTCCAAACAATTATTGATTTTCAATCTAACGGTCAAATCATCTTCAATTTAACAAAATAATTCCACTCCAGCCGGATAAAATTGTATTTTTATTTTCAGACGGACAATAATACGATTGGAATATAAAATTATAAATGAACTAACCTAGCTTTAATTTTATATTACATTGAAAATATTTTAATTAATTGCAGGATAATTCATTTCGTCCAACTAAAGAACAACAAATAATATGCTATCTTAAAAACTTTTACACTTTCACGCCGGTTTGAAACATTTAAGAATTCCAATCGTGTGTTCAAGGAGCCGATGCCGTTCAGCTCGACCAAACCACTTAACTTGAGACGATGGGTTCCTTCAGCGTTCGCACTCCTTCCCACACTCGTCTCATCATCTAACCACGTGTTTTTAAAGCAGCTGACCACTTCCGCGTACAGGCCTACTATACTCATCTCACTCATTGAAACTGGTTAGTTATTATAAAAGCATACTTGTCTGGCGTATTTAAAAATGTGCTCTCAAACTGCTGACCTATCCCATCAGTACTATTCAATCAATTTTTCTTTGCATGGCTGATCAAGTCCAAGCTAGAATTTCGTTAATTAATTTTCAACACTTCTGGTAACTGGCAGCGAACTGACACCACTCTGCGGAGCACTGATCTGCTGTTATTGTGTGCTGCAGCAGCTGCTGCTTGGATTTGTTGTTAGTTAATGACACGTAATGTTGCGATGTTGTAATATTGCGATGTTGTAATATTATAATGTTGCGATGTTGTAATGTTGCGTCTGATACCTTAAGTTCGTGACCTCCAATGTTGGTGTAACTGTTGGAAGAGAGTGATGATGATGATGGTTTGACAGGACTGGGCAGTGCTGATAATGATGCCGATGTGGTTGTTGCATCTGTTCCTGAAGAAGAAAAGAAAATGTTGGTGTGGTTGTTGCTTGCAGTCGTGATGATGATATCGCTGCTGCTATTGATGACGATGTTGGTGGTGATGATGACGATGTTGGTGGTGATGATGACGATAGTAAAAAACGGTGGTGAGATGAATTACGATGTTTATAAAAAAAAATTATTACGCTGCTGCTGCTGATGATGATGACTATGAAGTGATGAAGATGATGAAGAGATGATGATGATGGAGTGATGAAGATGACGATGACAGTTAAGGCGGCAACTAACGAGACCACAACAATGTGTGATGAATCAATTCGTTTACTTGGAGTGCTTGCAGCGGTAGGGAATGCATGATGGATGGATGAGGAGGAAGAGGGAGAAGGAACGCCAGCGTCCAGTCCGCATTCCAACAATACTGCCACCACAAACATCACATTACAGAACATAACGTAACATCACGTCATAATACAACACAACACAAGCAATTGCATTACATAAAACTTAATCATTCGTATACATTCAACTTTGAATCAAGCAGCACGAGAGGGTCGGTCAGTTGAGCATGGTCATGCACAATCATCATCATCCTCATCATCATCATCCTCATCATCATCACCACCACCTGAAAATACAACACGCAAAAACGATAATGATGTTGCTAGGTTCACCTATCGGTTATTGTTTATTGCGTGATTTGAATGATTTGATGAAAGTGAACGAGAGGTGAGTGACTGACCATTGTCTGCATGGAGGCAGGCAACCTTCTGATGCAACAGTCTGTACTTCCGCAGCTGCTCCGACATCTCATCTATCTTTGCATTCTGATATTTGCATTTCCATATTATAACATTTCTCCATTTTTGTCTTTGTTATTTATTCATCATCAAACAATCACTTTTTTTTTTATTAAATTTGATGTTTACTGAATTTTCTTATGGGCATCATCTTCACCATCATCATCATCATCTTCTTCACCATCATTATCTTCACCATCATCATCATCTTCACCATCATCATCTTCCTCATCATCATCTTCTTCACCATCATCGTCATCCTTCCACACCTTTTCTTCATTGGTTGTCATCAAGTTTTCCATGGCTGCCTTCAGCTTTTCAACATCGAGATCTGTGTGCGCGTGTGCGTGCATGTGTGTGTGTGTGTGTGTAAACCAGCAAATACATAAACTATAAATATACTATAAACACACACACACACACACACACACACACACGCAAACATGTATACATACATATTATAAGCGTTTAGATATAAATTATATAAATAAATAGCATTGTATTTTATTTAATATAGATATGTTATGTAAAGAACACAAGCCACTAGACACAAAAATTTATAGAAGACCAAAGCAGATGCCTACATAGCACACATGTCAAGCTTGTCTAGAGTTGACTAGCTGGAAAAACTTGACACATTTGGACCGTGCTGATTTTCTACCAGCATTGCACATAATGAGTTATTTAAATTTTAAGGACAAAAAAACACAGACAAAAGAAAAAGTGACAAAAAAATGAAGCACACACACACATGCAAGCATGCATAGAGACAGAAAAACAAAGAGACATACGCTTCTTTTTCAGCCTTTCTAGGGTCTGTTCTCTTTCTAATGTTCTCTCCTTCATTGGATCTGTGTGCATGTACAAGGTGTTCATAGCAAATTAGAAATATGATTAACACGATGGAGAGGTTGACAACGCTTTGCACATAATAATGAACAGTGGAAATGTTGCAAATAAATTGTGAAAAAACATACACGTAGTTTTTGAATAGTAGACAAAAAAATATCTATATGCTTATAAAACCAAGAAGGAAGACGAACGTGATTTATCAGGGGAGGCCATGTTCATCAATTTGTTTCGTAACTGGTTCAACTCGATCGTCTGGTCATTGGCAGTTGCCTGAAGCTCAGATAGTCGACTCTGTCGAAGACATTGATATCAATATCATCATAAAGTAAAGTAGACGATAATAAAGTAGAAGAGGAAAGAAGTTGAAGACCTCATAAATACTGATCTGTTGATCTTTTTCTTTCATCCTCTTCTCCAAGTTGCAGAGTTTGCTCTTCAGGTCGTTGTTCTCAATGATGAGTCGCTGTTCAACTGTGCAATGCCCGTCCATCTTGTCATCTGTGCTTGTTGTCGTGCTGCAAGGTCCTTTTCTATTGTTCCCGGTCCACATATCCTATGTACATTTATCATCACTCACTCACTCACTCATTCAGTCAACCCTTTAATAATTTAACCACAAAAATTATTTGCAAATTTCACATTTGTTAATCATTGAAATTCAATCATAATAACATTTTACATTTGTATTTGTGACACAAACATTAGAACACAACAAAAACTCATGTCTACACAATATCAGCCAATTTGTAGAATGAGCAATAAGTTTATTACCTCACGTGTTTTTATTTGTGTAGTTTGTTAGTATGAAATAAATATAAAAAAAATTATGAATAAACATCTACAATTGATTTGAAATTTATATACATAACATACCCAATATTCAACAACATAATTTCTTAGGCCAAAAAAAATTGACAAGTTAAAAATAAAACATTTATTTGTTTGGAGCTGCTCAAACACTAATTAAATAAGTAACATCATCCTTATCATCAAATTTATTAGGCCAGTAGGCAGAAAAAACTTACTTCTTACAACAGTTTTATTTAATTTTTTGAACAAAAATTAACTCCAATCACTTATTCATACTACTATACCAGCAATATCTGTACTTAATAAAACTCAGTCATAAACAGAGCAAGCCAGTGCTTTCCCATTAGTAGAGACTAGACTAGAAAATTACTAACATAAATTAATTTAATCTTAATGTTAATTGAACCTTGCAAATCTATTCTACTTGCAATCAGTCGGTCAAACTTATTTCAAATTAAAAAATCAAATTGAAATAAGAAATCCGCCTAACTAACCAGATCAGCAGCATGAAAATTATTCAGAACCACCAATTATGAAATATTATTTTTTATTATAATTATATTAGAATATCTTTTTCAGTCTCTTCTTTATTTTATTTCCTTCTCTGAGAAAGTTTCTCACAATTTAAAAAAATCAACTGTTTTCTTTTCCCTAAAGCCCAAGAAGTTCCTTTTTCTTAAATTTATGATTTTTTATTAATTATTATTGCTATTGGTATTGGTGTTTACACTTGCTTGTTTTGTTTGCTTGAGTTTGTTTAATTGATCGATTTGGTTTTTGATATGAATTATTATGATTAAAAGAATATCATATTATAATCATATCAATCAAATTCGAGATAATAAAATATAATAATATGAAAAAATATGTAATCAAATCAAATGGTCTCTCTTTTCTTTTCTTTCTTGTTGTACTCTTGTTTGCAATTTTTTGCAAAACTTAATTTTTGAAAGGCACGTGAAAGCAATCGAAACTAAAAACAAAATGGAAAATTAATTTTCAGCGTCAGGCAGAAAAAAGTTTCCGGCAAGTTATCTCCTTACTTTGAACGCTTTTAAAAACTAAAAAAACAAACTAAAATAAACAAAAAAGATTAAAAAAATGGCGACTGCAGAGATGGGTAATAAATAAAAAAAGCGAGCGCTTCACACCAAGGATAATTTTACATACGGATAAACCGACAATCGTATACACCAGACCAACCAGATGAATGCAGCAATTTTACATAACTGATTAATAACATTAATTAAGCCATTATCGACCTCTCGTTTAGAATAATATAATGACAAACACTGATATAATAATGTAGGCTGGCGAGGCGCTATATAATGTTGGCTGATGACTCAAAAACTTTATGCAGTTCATTCATCTTACAAAGTCAGTAAGTTCTACAAAAATTTGCGAAGCTATTCATGAATGAATGGATGAATGGGTGAACGAATAGATGGATGGATGAATGAATGGATGAATAATTTATAAAACAAATGAATGAATGAATGGATGGATGAGCGAATGAACGAACGAATGAATGTATCATTAATGAATGGACTAACAACCAAATAAGTGAAAAGATGAATGGATGGAGGAAACGACTGAAAACGAATGATAATTGAAAAACCAAAATTAAATCAACGAAATTCATAGTTTTGAAATGAACCCAACCTCGCAATCTTTCTTTGACATACAACTGAACAAGTACATTCTATATATTTTATATTAAATTTATTTGTTTATTAAATAATTTGCATTTATTTTCATTAATTCATTATTTAATCTGTTTTCAATGCTTCGCCTATCTGCCTCTATCTCTATCATCCATCCATCTTATTGTTTAATTTACTTATTGAATCGTCTTCTTATGAAGCTTATCTAAATCCAAAACGTTGATAAATTTAGATAGATGGATGGATGGATTTTTTCCTAATCTCAAAAACTTTTCAACAATTGGAAACCAAAAGTTTAAACTCGGTGGATGATGAACGCCAATGATTTAAATACGTATGGTTAACAAATTCTATATATACTGCATGTTCATAACACAAACATTTAATCATCATTCACTCGTTTCACAGTAAGACAGTCTTGCACTTATACGCATTCATTCCACATACATATATATACATGCATGCATGCATGCACACATAAATACATAGGCACGGTACATATACACACACACGTACATGTTCACAAACGACCATTACATACACACATATACACTACCGCGGAACATACAGCCAACCAACTTTAAATAATTCCACATTAGCATCTCATTATTAGGTGTAACTGCAGTACATACATTCACTTCACTGGCAGATGCAAAGACTGCAGATGCGTGTTGTATATCTTTCACTCACCTACCTAATCCTATATTACGCGCTCAACTTATTATGCTAAACGTTTTCACTCCGCTTCCAATAATACAATTGCAGTAAAAAAAGTTTCAATGAGTTGTGTGGTGGGTTGCTGGTTGTTATTTCACATAGAGACGATAATGATAAGTATAATAACAATCATCATCATCACCATCATCATCATCATCATCACCACATCCGGAAATGCAACCCACGTGTCTTAAATTAACATTGCGATTGAACCAAGTTTGTTAGAATGCCGATGCAAAATATGGCATTCTACTATCTGCAAAAATAAAACATTTCATCCCACTATAATGTCCAGCTCTATCTCTCTCACATTGTTTGCCTCTATTCCTGTCTATCTTTCTCTTCCTATTCCTCACTCCCTCACTCACTCCCTCACTCACTCACTCACTCACTCACTCACTCACCAGTCCTTCTCTTTCATTGAATCTTCGAAAAGAACGCACCCTCAAACACTGCCCTTTCATTGGTTGGTTGCCTGATTTGTTGGCCACGTGACCTTCTTGCGATCTTTGCCTCACCTGATTGGTCAGCCAATCGAAATAGGAAGAAGATGAGGACAACGGTGATGATGGCGACGTGAGGAGGAGTTCATTCATTCTGTTTGAGAGTAAGTTGTCAGTACTCATACAACGAGGTACGAAAGAAACATTTGTTGTTGCTGCAGCCATATTCATGTTGTTGCTGTTGTTGTTGTTGTTGTTGTTGTTGTCATTGATGTTGTTGTTAGAGATTGGTTTGTTGTAATTATTGATGCTTTTGTTACTGCCGTTTGTGATTGCCATGTAGTTAAACTCTTTCGCAACTTGCTCTTGACTGGTCGAATCTCTCTGCCGCCAAAAGTTGAAGCTGTCATTGGTCAATTTAGTGTTCAATTTTGCATCCATAGTTAGGCTTGTTGTTGTCGTCGTTGTTGTAAATAATCACAACATCCAAATTGTAAGAGGCCTCGTCAACCAACGTAAGAAAGTGATTATAAGGTTAAAGGTCATTACAAATAATATAATAAACAGAAAACAAGAATGGTAATGGCGATAATGAATAGCATCTAGAAAGTTAAAGAAGCAAGCAACATCAATTGAACTCCTTATCTCAATCCTTCTGAAACATCTTCACTTGCACATTTCCTATAAATCCTGCTTCCCCCTCTCCACCATCTTCATCATCTTCGCCATCACCATTACAAAAACAACAACGTGTGAATGCATGCGTAAGAGGTAAGTATTATACAGTATTAAATTATATATATATAAATATATTTATATATAGTATTTTATATATATATATATTTACAATATTCTATAAATTCTACCGAATGTTTGGCGTTAATATGTTTGTAGTTCGTTTTTTCAATTTTTCTCACTAAACGAAAAAACGAACTACAAACATATTAATATCAAACATTCGGTAGAACTTATAGAATATTGTAAAAATTATGGTCTATTACCAACATAAATATATTATATATATATATATATATATATATATATATATATATATATATATATATATATATATGTATATAATTTGGAACGAGGTTAGGGTTAGGGTTAGGGTTGATATTTGGGTTGAATTTGTTGTTATTACTTTTTTGAATATTCAAAATAGTAATAACAACAAATTGGGGAATTATTTTTAATATATATATAAATATATATATATATATATATATATATATATACAATATTCTATAAATTCTACCGAATGTTTGGCGTTAATATGTTTGTAGTTCAATATATCGTGATATATATATATATATATATATATATATATATATATATATCTGTGTGTGTGTGTGTTTGGTGTGTTTGGATGGTGATGGTGTATGCAAGAACAATGAATGTCGACCTGTGTATTTACAAATGTTCTCAGAGGCGGATCCCCCAACGTACCATGAAAGAAGCGAGTATTGATCATTTTGTTTAAACTATAGTAATAAAGTAATATTAGTTATAAAAGTTCCTCAAGTAAAAAATTTAAAAATCATCCGCTCCCACCGAAACGGAATTTTACAACAAGAAGCAAAAAAAGTGTTATTAAGTTTGCAATTTTGAAATCATCTTGCACCGCAAAATCTGGATCCGCCACTACAAATGTTTGTAAATTTCATCTAAAATCTTTGAATTTTATTAATTCATGTCAATGGTTGAAACGTTGTGCTTCAAATTCATACAAGCGTAAATCATTAACACAAATGTAAGTTACTTACTTTATTCCCATGCTGGTTCTTCATAGGTTTTTGTTTCAAGTTGTTATAACTGTCACCATCGCCTTCCTCCTCTTCTTCATCATCTTCATCATCATTTTGTTTAGCTCCGCGAAGAGCTCTGTATGAGATGTCGTTCTTATTTATTATCATCCTCAAACGGTATATTAATTTTTCTTTATCCATCTTCTCACCTATGCTCTCCTCCACCGTCGACAATCTCAACCCACCTTCGTCACCATTTTCATTCTTTTTATTTATTTCGTCATCATAATCAACATCTTCTTCCTCTTCATTCAACTCCTTGAACATTTCCATCAGCGAGTCCTCATGACGACTGAGTATTTCTTCAACTCGTCCAGATTCCAATTCCAATGTTACAGCTGTTGTTGGTAATGTTGCTGATGCTGGCAACGATGTTTTACTAGATGTTGTAACCGCTGATGTTGAACACTTTTTAGATGAAGAAAAAGATGTTGCTGATGCTTGCGAAGATGTTGACAACCTCAAAACTTTCCTCCTCTTCACGCTGTTCAGGAGCATCGTTTCTGGAGAGCATCAAAATTGAGAATGATTATAAATAAATAAGCCACGATTGAAATTGCACTGAAATGCATCTGGGAAAGGTTGCCGCAACCCTAGAATTCCTATCAGCAAGGCAATCTTGTATCGGCAATATATTTTTAGTATCGGCTCTGGTATCGCCAACACTTTTGATACCGAATTTGATATCGCCGATACTTTCGAGCGTCAAAGAGATACGCCTATGTCTCATTAATAATAATTAAAATTTTCAAAATTTAGCGCGTTTTGAAAATGATAAATCCGGTACTTAAAATCAAGTTTTCCAGCCTTTTGTAAATTTTACAATGGTCCCGGCTGTATTTTACATTATGAAATATTACTTTCTTTTTTGGTGGTTCAAAAAATTAAAAAAAAACTGTTTAATATTTTACTTGACGTTCAGTTTTCAAGTCATTCGATTTATTTTATTAAAAAAGAAAAATGTAACTATTGCTGAAAACGAATGTGCCCCTATGGATAAATGTATGTAGCACCGCTTACAAGCCACAAAGTGTCCATTATAGTGTTGCTGACGTCATCTTCAAAGATGGGTACCGGCAATGGTATCAGCAATACATCTTAAAACCAGAATTGGTCGTGACGATGCATCCACTCATCCATCCTTTCATTCATCCATCCATCTGTTAACCTTCCATTAATTCATCCATCTGCTTCAGGGCGTGTTTTAAATTTTCATCATTATCCACAAATTTGTGGCTGACGTTGTTGTTGGTGAGGCTACTATTATCATTGTTGTTGTTGTTGATAATGTTGATGTTATTGTTAATGTTGTTGTTCCGCTCGATACCATTAAGTTGGGCACTGTTGTTGATGTTACTAACTTTGGTGGCGTGTTTGTTGACGCGGACGTGAGCGAAGCCGCTGTGCATGCTGCCGCTGCTGTTGAAATATTTAATCGTTATTATTAATCGTCATCACACTCCAAACATGATTGTTGTTCATTATTGTTTAATTCAATGAAATTACGAAATAAATAAATTCATGAATAAATTCACGCCCATGTTGTATCGTCTGCGTGTAAGATGGATCAATGAGGAAGAGGAGAGGCCGTAACTTTTTAACTTTTAATCATTTTTAATCATTGTAATTATTGAATTACCTAATAACTAACTTGAAAATGAAATCAAAATGTTAGGAGGAGGAAACTTTTTGGAATGAGATGGTGTTGCTCATCTCGAACGTTGCTGCAGAAGATGCTATTGTTGTTGTTAATGTTGTTGTTGTTGTTGGTGGTGATGTTGTTGGGGATGTTGTTGTTGTTACCAGTTGGTTTAGTTTTGTTTGGTGATGTTGTTGATGTGACTGTCGATCCAATAAATTATCATTCTGAACAAAATTTTAATCTAACGGTTATAAAACAAATCAACAATAAATTCATTAAATAAATATAATTTCTTAAACAAACTAAAATAAATTTTAACAGATCATCAATTATAAAAAAGAAACAAAACTTGTACATGGAATCTAATCTAACAAAAGCATACAAACAAGCCTAGAGGTGGAAAGAGATACAACATCTGTGAAATAATGAAACAATGAAATTTGAATCTCTTTCATAATTCTTGTAACAAGTCAGACAACTGCTAAGAAATTTAGGCTTACTTAATCATCCATTCATTTATTCACCACTCATTCCTTTATTATTCATCCACCCATTCATTCATACATTCGTTCATTCATTAAATTATTAATTCATTCATTCATCAATTCATTTACCTCTCTATTAATTCATTTATTCATTCATTCATTCATCCAGTCCAAATTTAATTTATTAAATATTTCTTAAACAGATATAAAAGATGTTTTTGAAGTAAAACATCACAGAACATCATATATATGATTGAACAACAACTAATAATAACAACATCGACCGCAAACACATACAAGCCAACAACAAATCAACTAACCAGCAAGTAAAGAAGGAAACGACGAATTAACGTAACAACGAAAACAGGTAACGACAACAACAACAACAGTCAAGTAACAACCAAAAAGATAATGGCATTTAAGCACGCAACCAACTAAATATAAATGGATGGCTTAACTTAGGGTTAACTAGGAAATATTTTGCAGTCACTTGCCCAATTATTTGTTTGAATTTACAAACACATTCATTCGTTCATTCATTCATTTGTTCGCGCGCTCCTTCATTCATTTGTTCATTCATTCCTTCATTAGTTCATTCTTACGTTCATTATTCGTTCGTGTAGTCGGTAATATTCGCAAATATAACACGCGTTCGAAGCACGTTCTATGTAAACTTAAGTCATATGATTAGCATAAAAAGCATAACAAAGCATAACATAACAAAAGGCATAAGCTGCGGGTTCCATACATTCGTACTAACTATGCAGCCGTATAACCAAGAAAGCAGAGCCGCGAAACACAAGACCTAACAACTTTTTCAGCAGCCGATAACTTCATACTGACCGTTCTTTTCAATTTAAAAGGACACTCGGGAGTTTGCTTCGCCTACGTTGGCGCCAGCGGAGCAACAGCACACCAGCACCACCGTCCACTTACAAACAAATGCATTTTTTCACGACAACATCGCCCATGGGTATTTAAACAGAACAATCCTATTATTGCCGGCACATATGAAAAACTAAAAAAATCGTAATTCGCGAATTTCATTAATAATCAAAAACTCCTTCATCTCATTTTAAAATGTTTTCGCTTTTTTTCAAAGGTAGGATTATAATTAGCTGAAATTGTAATAAAAATAAATAAAAATAATAAAGTGATGATTTTAAAGAAATAAAAATAAGTTAAAGTTCGTCGAAGTCTTCATCATGAGCGTCACGTGATCATCATTCATCGCCATCCGACCAGCATCATCTTATAGACAGCGAGCCACCAACAGATACCCCCTCGACTGTTTGGAAGAAGCGTCAGTGGTGTTCATGGCAGCCATCATGGCGTGCAGTGGCACCCAGACTTCGGCATGGGAGGGCCACACATCCATGAGCAAGATGGAGTCGGAGGAAGGGTGGTAGGCTGCTACGGGACTGTGATGACCAGAGAAGAAACAGTTCTCATCCAACACCTGTGCAATTAATTCATCATTTGAGGTTCTTCTTTTAAAATTTGAAACATAAAATACAATTTAATGAATTAAGTGCGTCATGAACAAGTTTGACATGTGAGGGAGCAGAAAAATGAGCTCACCTTATGATCATAGTTTACAATCACTCCAACTCGTTTAGATGATGATGATAATGAAGGAGGGGACGAGGACGACGAAGATGATGGCCCAAATGATTCTTGCACGTCCTTTCTAAACCTATCGATGCTGGTTACATCAGCATAGTTAATGTCAACATGGAAATAAAAAGCTGCAATCAAGCGAGCAACCTCACACAACGTAAGCCCCTCCCTCTTCATTCTCTCAACATCGATTACCTTCTTTAATGCAGGCAGCTCAAGAACGGTCTCTTCCGTCAGAGGAAATGGAATACAAATATCCTCATCAACACAATCAGGATCATTGGTTTCGTTGCTCCTGCCAATGTTATTGCTACTGTTGTTGTTGTGAGTGACCACATTAGTAGGTTTCGGTTTGGATGTTGTGGGTGGTGTTGCTGGGGTTGGAGCTGTAGCAGCAGGAGTGGCGGCTGACTGTGCTTTTGAAAAGGTAGGATACTGGCCGGCATTCAGTTTCTTCATAATGTTACAACATCCACCTAAATAGCCTTCACCACTCTTTATACAACAGGGATTTTCTTCATCTCCACCACATTCGCCTCCGTCCATATTGCATTTTGGCATGAACTCATACTCACCATCTGCATTCAATCGCACATTGTCCCAATCAGTTTTGTCAATTTCTGACATGTTGATGCCTGCCCTCAGAGCTGCATTCTTCTTTGCTATTCTTGTGGCTTCTCTTGCTTTTGCTTTTGCTTCTTTGATGGCATTGTATTTTTTGAATATTCCCATACCACCAAAGCCAGTGACTCCTCCGACACCTACGCTCCCACCCAGATCACAACCAATCCCGACTGGACCTTTATATTCACAGGCAGCTAGTCCCGATCCACCTATCCTGCAGCAACCCTTTCCACCGGAACAACCACAGGATTGTGTGCAGTGTCCAACGTTTGCAGTGTAGGCAGTCTTCATTGGACCAACCTTTGGACCTTTTTTAGTCTCAACAATAGGTTTTCCACCAGTTGCTGTTACAGTTGGGCCCTGCATTCCACATTCTCCATAACACCCTGCCTCGTGCATGTCGTTGTCCAGACAGCAAGAAGTTATTCCTTTATCAACTTTGTCAATGATGTTATTAATTTTTGTTTTGATGAAAACATCGAGAAAAGAATTTTGAGCCACAATCTTCTCGGGATTCATGGACGAAGTGGATGACATGACGCCTCTCAACTCGTTGTCCACAGATACGTCGGATATCTGCGTGGTTGGAAGTACTTTTTGATCAGCCATATCAGAAGCGTTTGTAGAAAAATTTAACTTTTGCGAAGAATCAACTAGAGAAGTTGCAGAATTGTTGTTTTGAGAGTGGAACTGATTCTCAGCAGCTGTTTCAGTACGAGTACGTTGTTTGCTATAGTTGTCTCCTTTGTTCCTCGATGAATTCTTTACAATTATGAGAGGTCGATTAGCCACGTAGCAGGCAAGTTCAGGGAAGTTTGTCTTGAAGCAGAAGCTCGAGTGTTCGTTGATGTAAGAGTTAGCGAAGCATGAATTCATCATCACACAACTGCTGACTAAACCGCAGGTCGTCTGACCGGACTGTTTGACGAAATTTTTAATTATTTGTTCGTTCGTGCAGTCGAGAGCTGTCGATTCCTTTAATCGCTCTTGTCCTAATTCAGAATTTAATGAAATCATTTCTATAAAATCAACCATTCATCTGAAATTAAACAAAAATTCAAAATATTTACAATCTCAATTTAACTTTAAGCTGAGAGTGACGAAATTAAAAGTTAATTTATGTTATTAGTAACTCCAAGCGAGACAGAAATTATGGTTAAAGTTATATATTTAAAGAAAACAAAATTTGAAACACGCAAAGACTAGCAAAAATTAAAATGAAACAAAACAGAATGATGGTGAATTAAAGAAAAATATTTATCACAAATCTTTAGAAAACAGCCATAAAACTTCACTAGCCAAGTCTTGAAGCAGATGAAGGTTGCAGCTTGAGCTGGTCAAATGGATGAGCATCAAAGTTCTCCAAACTTCTCAAGTTCTCTTGGTCTCATTATTTTATTTAACTTCTCTTAACTCCAACTTATATTATTTTCGTTTTTTAATATATTTTTTAAGGTTTTAACTTTTATCTATTTTTATAAATTTTTATTTTTAAAAATTTTTATAAATTTTTATTTTATTTTTAAGTATTCAGCGTGTTTTGTTCATGTTGGTAAGGAAATATTTTCCTGTTGAACTTTTTTTTAGTTTCGTATGTAATATGACGTCATCTGGTCTTAACGTGAACGTAACCAAAGAATTTTATTTATTTATTTTAAATGAATGTTTAAGCCACTTTTCTTATATTCTAGCAATTAATTAAGCTAATTAGTTTTATAGCTACGTATTGGAATCAATCTTTTCAATGAAGTTTAAATAATAGACTGAAACATAAATGGAAGATCATAGGAATGACGATTGGAATGAATGAAAGAACAAACGAACGTACGAACGGAAGGAATAAAAGAATGAAATAAATGATCAGTAAATAAACCATGCAATAAGTGAAGAGGAAGATGGTGAGGATGAAGTAGGAGACAAATACAACGAGGATCCAATTGGTGGTCTCACGCGCAAAGCAGAAGCAGAAAAACTGTTGCATTGTGGTCTTAATTTTCTACGCGTTGGACTTATTTTCTGTCAGAAATTTACAAAACGATTTTACAACACGTCCATTTAAAGTTTTTGTATTAAAAACTTAAGTGCTGCAAAAATGAAAATGTGATAAAATTATAACTGCAAACATACGTACACGTTGTACATACAAACATGCACTTGTTGTACATACTTGCAATGCATAGAAAAGTGTACAATAAATGAATGCACGATTGTAGATGAATAAATTAATCAATAAAGACATGTAAATATAAAAAGCCTGTTTAATAAGCAATGTGAATGTAAACTTATAATATAACATGATTAACTGTATAGAAAGTTAAAACGTTTATAAATAGGAATCACAAATTTAAAAGTTGCCAAAAATTAAATTGTATGAATGAATAAATGAATGAATGAATGAATGGATGGATGGATGAATGGATGGATGGATGGATGAATAAAAAAGAAATGAAGAATGAATGAATGATTTTTGTTTACAGCATTAAGCACGCCATCAATTTGGCAACAACGAAAGTGTATCATTCCTTTCCTTTGAACATTCACCAAATCCATTCCCTCATTCATCCATTCACTCATTCATCCATTTTTAATGCGTTCTTTCATATTTTTTTATCATTCATTCATTATTTCTTCCATCTATCGATTTATAAATTCATTCCAGGCTTTTGAAGTGCAACATCTCATAGCATCAAAGCGCCGGCGAACATGAGCGAGCAAATACATGCATGGATTAATGAATGAATTAGTTAATTAATTCGTGTAATATGTTGAATAAATAATTTTTAAAATAATTAAATTATTAAAAAAGAAAGGTAGGTAGGTAGGAAGGTAGGTAGGTAGGTAGGAAGGAAGGAAGGAAGGAAGGTAGGCAGAAAATTTTTATGTGGTTCCTGCCTGCCCCGCTCTGCAACTTGCAGCTGCAGAGTTGTTAGAAACAAATTTAATTGAGAAAATTTGATGACATTTGCACTGCTGCTGTTGCAATAAGCTAAGCAAAACAATTGATGATGATACAGCCAGAAGAATGCATAAAATCATCATCATTATCATTTCATCATCATCATCACTAGAACAACAGGCCGCAATAGCTCAACGTTCATTCATATAAATAATAAACCACCATCATCATCATCGTCATCACCACCATCAGTCAATTTAACATCATCATCACAGACGTCGTTTTCGTATTTTTAATGTTCATTATCCATTGTTGAGGAGCGAAATTTTAAAAATTCACTCATCGGAAGACTTTGCAGCACATCCCTGAAATATTTTCCTGCCACCTTCAGCCTCGTCGTGTTCGTCGTTTTTCAGCCAACTTTCCAGTTGTTTGTAGTCGGAGCAGACATCATCTTCCTCCTCCTCCTCCTCCTCCTCCTCCTCCTCCTCCTCTTTCTCTCCATCAACATCTCTCTTCATTTGTGGCTGCAGATTGCCTACTTTCTTGTCTCCATCATCATACACATACTGGAACAAATTGCCTCTACCCTCTAAAAACCTCTCTCCATTATAAGCACCTCCTTCTTCGTCCTCTTCGACATTCTCATTGAACATTTTGTGATCGTCGCTGCTACCTTTGAGGATGTTGTTAAATTTTGAAGCTAGTATGCTTAAGAGGTTGTTTTCTTCCTTCTTTTTCATCTTCTCGCTTGATTCCTCCGCGCTCTCACCAACGTCGTCCTTATCTCTCCTGTCCACGTGCCAACCATCTTTCTCGATCTGTTTGTCCAGTTTATTTTTCTTCATTCTCTCAGTCTCTTTTTTTCTTGTAATTTTTTTAAATTTTGGTTTTCTTTCGTTGTAAAGAAGGCACTCGTAAGGATTTGAATCGCAAAACGCGCCCACTTCATACTCTATGATGTCATCGTCCTGTTGTTTTTGTTTCTGTTGATTAACTTGCATAACCCTTTCTGTTTTTTTCTTGAGTGAGGAAAACCAACTTTCATCTCGTTGCTTTCCGTCTTCGTCCTTCTTCTTCATCTGGTCGTGGTCGCTGTTGGAAGTGTCGGCAGGAAGGCGCTTCATGTGATTGGTCAGCTTTATGGCTGACGTCACCAGAGCACCTGTTGTACCTGTCGCTAAGTATTTGAATTTAAAAATTAAACGTTTCATTCCTGGAAGACACGGTGATAAGGTTGATGACGAAAATGGTGGTTGTGGTTCATGTTGTTTTTGCACGCTAGAAGAAAAATCGTTGTTGTGATTGTTGTGGTTGTGGTTGTTGTTGTTGTGGTTGTTGTTGTTGTAGTAGTTGTTGTTGTGGTTGTTGCATTTGTATTCAGCGAGAATGGCAGCAGCAGTAGTGGTAGCTTTAAATTTGTACATCTCACACACCGATATTCTCAACTTCTTCATCGACTTGAAAGCCGACAATGACGATGATGATGACGAAGTTGCATTGGTGGCTGACGATGACACAATAGATGACATAGATGTTAACGATGCATAGAAAGTAGTAGAGGATGTGGAGAAAGCTGATGAAGGCGATAGCCTGTAGATCCTCCAACGATATACATCATCTTCGTCATCTTCTTCGAGGACATCCGACAGATGAGGGAGACTTTCATTCAGCTGCAAGGATGACGTACTCTTGTCGCCCATCTCATCTAATGTCTCCCAAGCAGCTGTGATCGACAAATTCGTTCTCAGGTAGCAATCGATCGCGGGCAGTTGCAAGCGGGGTTTGTCGTTTTTACTTTCTTGGATTCTACACGTCATGATAGGCATGGCAAGAGTGACAGCAAATAAGAGACAGCAAAGCATGAAAAAAATTTGATTCAACTCGTACTTGTCATTTTTCCTGATCTTCTTGCCTTCCATGTGGGCGTACCACACGATTCTCATGGAAACGAACAAAAGTCTCGAAAACGTCGTAAATAGATCTATGCTAAAGTTCTTGTTTTCGTTGCCGTCTGCAACGCTGCTGGACACGGAGTCTCGCCATTTTTTTGTAAAGTAGGAGATAGTCGCCAATGGAATGTGCTCAAACAGAAGAGTGAACAGCAGCTCCAAGTGCAGTGAAATAAAAGTTGTGCCATCCGTACGGAACAGGGATGTGATTGTGTTTGCAGTCTCAGGCAGATACGTTAGACAAGCAACAATTGTGAAAACGCACGACGGCAGCCAGAGATCACTCAGCATATCATTTTCCATACCGACTACCCTGACGGAGCCTGCATACAACTTCAATTTCACTTCCTTCCTCTCGCTGGCTCTGATGAAATTTACAAGACCCGCCAACAAATCTAAAGTCCCGAGCAGTAACATGGGAACGACCCATTTTAAACCGCTCTCAAAGTCATCTGCATCTCCACTTTCGTCCTCGTCACGTGACTTGTCAGCGTGCAGACAACAAATGGACTTTCTTCGCCACTTCTTGAAGATGGTGGTGTACGGTTGCGACCTGACGACTCGCACGAAAGATAGAAATCGATCCTTCAGCAGTGCAGCACGCGCCTTTCCTTCCTCGCCACCATCACTAAAATAATTATCATCGTTAATATTATTTTCATCATCGTCATTGTTAATATTGTTGTTGTTGTTGTTGCTGTCGAACTCAACTTTTCCAGAAGCTTCTTCTATATCTGGAATGAGGACACTTTCGATTTGCGAGTGGTTGATCATGGGTGGATGCAGGCGGGTAGTTCAAGTAACAAACTGACTAGCACCATTAAATAACATTACGTCGCAGCAGATTACATCAATACTAGAATTATACAAAAAATTAATTAAAATTACAGATTGTCACGCCAAATAATGGCGCAGAACAACGTGGCGTTACAAATTATATTACTGAATCACATTCGGTTAGTTCAAGTTACATTAAGTTACATCGAGAGGCAGCATTTGATGTCATCAAGCAGATTTTAGCGAAATAACATCAAATAACATTAAATAATATTATTCATTAAACAATGTTAACGAGTCAGTAGCGGATCAAACCTCCCACTTACCTACAACATATCAACAAATATTCAAAAATGACATAACAGGAGTCATATATATACATACATACATGCATACATACATGCATATATATATACATGTATATATATATACATACATATATATATATTATATATATATATATATATATATAAGTTATTAGTATAAAACAATTAACATTCATGCATTTGAGAATGTATAAAGAGTGAGGGAAATGCGCGTGCGTATATAGGCATTACGTATCATATAGTTCCATAATTTCATCAATACTGTGTTGTACAAGTACAAACATGCATTCATTTATTCAATTATTTCCACATTATTTTTCTTATTCATTTTTTCGTACAATCTCCTACCCACAGATGCATTGTATGAGTGATAAGTTAAGCTACCTTCTCGTTAATTCATTGTCATAATTGAAAATTACGTGATTCATTAATTGAAAAGAACTGGTCGCTTTCGAAACTGATAACAGTTTATTCATCCACCTAATCAACGTAGCAGACCAACTTGAAAGTGGAAAACGCACGTATGAAGGAAGATAGGCGGTCGAGGAGAGGTGGTTGGCCAATTTACGTAAGATGGAAAACTGTTTGACTGACCAGGCAGACTGGCTGTCAGCCTAATCAATTCCTTCATTTATAAAAGATTCAAGCAATCGCAACACCTACCTCGCAAACAACAACAATAGCAGCAAAACATCAACAACACAACATCATACCTCCCTACCAAGCAATCAAGCAACAATAGAAAAAAAATATAAATAACTACATCTGCGTTTACCAGGCAAGCGACATGAAAAAGTTTGAAGCGTAAAAAAGCAACATGAATGCAGCATTTACATTATATTGATACATCCATACATATTTGCACATATACATATATATATATATATATATATATATATATATATATATATATATATATATATATATATACATACACACACACATACACACACACACACACACATATGAAAAAGTTATATACATATATATTTAAAGATGTGTATCGAAGATGTGGAATGTATGGCAGCATATAACACAGGTGAGTTCAGGTGTGATCATTCGGTTATATATTTGTTTGTACATTTTTTATGCCTATGACGACGATGACAGCATGGCAATAACAACGCTAATGAATTAAACGCTGATGGGGTTGATGACGACAATAAGAAATACAAAAACAAACACAAGCTTCCATGAAACTTGTAAAAAAGCCTAGGCATAAATAAAAACATTTAAACAAACAAGTTGCTTGTCTAGGTGTATGCAAACTACAGAAATACCTGGGCATAAAATTTAAGTCTTTCGTACCGCAAACTATCAAATTTTAACATTTTCAACTGAAGAATGAATTGTGTTCAACTGACAATTTACTTGCATGTAGGTGCATGTTTCATGGCGTAGTAAAATCATACATGGTACTATGTACAGTACACATGCACGTAGCTCACTACGTGTGGGAACCACCAAGTGAATGCATGCATCGAAATAGATGTAGATTAGAATTTGCAATCTAACGAATGATGTGGAATGATGGATGTTGGACGATACCGAAGATTCGGCGAATCAACAATATAATATAACGGGCGAGCACTCCCCAGAGTCACACGTGAAATAACACATCACTATTTAGTGGGAGACGATGTTAATTGCGTCTCTCATTATTTATGACCGTATTTATTTATTTACCATAAATTGATTTGGTTGCTATCAGCTTATTACATTTGAGAAAAAATCAAACTTAACAGAACGTAAATATAACATTGAACAATTTTAATGGCAAGCTTCAGCAAAAAAAAACAGAAGAATTTTCAACAATTCTTCAAATTCATTTTTCTGAAAAGATTTGTCGTAGTTATAAAACACGAACAAATGGGTAAATTTCGTTGCTTTGCTGGGGATTAACTAAAATTAATTTAAACTGGAGCAGCGTGGACTTGATCCCAACAAAAATTAGGATGAGCGTGGGAACAGCAGCAGAGGAACATGAAGTCCTTTAGTGGTTGGACCGTGTTTGTAGATAACGGAGGCCTGCTCTTTTCTTTAGTTAGGCTTCCTGTAAAATCCAACTCACATCTCATTCATCGTGGTACAGAAATGAACAATTTATTTTTATAAAAAATGTGGCCAACGTGAGCGTTACAAAACTCATTCAATTAATACAGACCACGGAAGAATCATTGGGTTAACAGTTGTTGCCAAAGACTAGATAAATAATTTAATCATTAAATTATTAAAATTTGCGGAATCAATGATAACATTAAATCAAAATTAAATTTTAATGGTTGATTCGTTCATTTCTGTGATGTGTTAACGTGTTGAACGTCAATATTTTGATCAATTTTGTATGTGGCTTGTAAATTTTTTTTTCTTGTTAACCTTCTTTTGGCATTTCAGCTCCCACAATGGTGCTATGATCTACCTTGTTGACATTGGCCTTTATTGTAAATTATAAAAAAACTTGTTCTTATCTTGCATTTGGTTTTTATTTATTGACACCATAAATATTTCGAAAAACCAGATCTTTATAATTTAATTCGGCATGTACTATCGGAAACTCGCTGCCGATAGAAGTTTGCGCTTCACAGTGTAAAACACAAAATAAATACTTTTTAGCTCTTGCGCGTTTAGATTTATATAGTGAAAACAGTGAAAGTGAATATTTTTCTTATTATTTTTTAAAAATCAGAATCTGACAAACGCTGAAACTCTTACTACATGCAAGCCAATAGTATAAAATGGCAACGAAAAATAAATAACGGAATAAGAATGTTTAAGCATAAAAATGAAACGATGATTTTAAAAGACGAATAAATAAAATAATTAATTATGTGATTAGTAAATGATTTAGTAAGTAAGTTGTGATCAACAAGGGAAAAGAATGTTTAAGAAGAATATTTAAGTTGCAAGCCCCGTTGAGAATGAGGGAGTGGGGCATTATTTCACTACTGTTTTCCTGCTAATTTTATAAAGATACTTTTTTTCAAACAAAATGGAAAAGAAAATGTTCAAATAACACGCAACACACCGAACCACAAGTCACGACACGACGCCACACCACACCTAACCACACCACACGTTACGATACGACGCCACACGACACCACACCACACGTCACGAAACGATACCACACGACACCACACGTCACGACGCCCCACCACACCACACGTCACGACACTACACAACACCACACCACACGTCACGAAACCACACGACGCCACACGACACAAAACACACACATGTATGTATGTGTGTGTTTGTGTGTGTGCATGTATGACCGCGCAATAATAATAACAATAAAACAAACGAACAAATCTAGAAATAATAAGTAACGAATAAAATAAACGAATAGATTTAGCAATAATAAGTAACGAATGGTCTAGTAATAATAAACAACTTAACTAAACTTAACGAAAATATAACGAAAACACTGTGTTGAATGGTTGTTGTTGCTTGTATCCATGATATCATCACCATCTTGCAATATATCGGTACCAACTATCAATCACAACTTTGTTTTTATAGATAAAATGAATAAAGATACTGTTTTCATAAATTTAAAAAATTCTCAATTTGATTTCATTGCAATGTCGATGATGATGATTGTGACCTGACTGATTAAAAAAACATCAAATAAAATTTAATAAATAGGATGGGTAATTCGTTACAAATGGTAATGTAACCCATGTTTGAGAGTGCGCTAAAAATGAAACAACGAAAAAGATAGAGAATCGCATTTTTAAGAAAACAAACAAGTGAAGAAGAAGCACTAAATTGAACGGCATTTAGTGAGAAGCCCCCTCGCCACGTCAAGGCAGCCGTTCATGAGGGGGTTAATAATAAAACGACAGTCTAGAAATAATAAGTAACGAAGGTCTAGAAATAATATACAACTTAACTTAAAATATAACGAAAATAATATTGTGTTGATTGTTGTGTTTGATTGCTGCTGTTGGTGTTGTATTGAACAATAAACAATACAAAACAATTCAATACAAATAAACTAGAACGTAAGAAAGAAAGAATAGAGTCCCTAACTTACCTATGTTCACTAAATTAACTCACCTACCTATGTTCAATTAGCTCAACTTACGAATTAATCCTACCTATTTGTACAATTACGAAGTAAAAAAAAAGAGAATAAAACATCAAGCAAATAAAACAACGAATATATGTATGTATGTATGCATGTGTGGGTGTATGTATGATCGCGCAATAATAATAACAATAAAATAAACGAACAAATCTAGAAATAATAAGTAACGAATAAAATAAAGGAATAAATCTAATAATAATAAGTAATGAATACGTCTAGTATAATAAACAACTTAACTAAAAAATAAAATAAGGAAATAAAAAAAGGGACCAGGCGCTAAGGGAACGCCACAAAGCGCCTGGTCGGATTTCAACGCATTTTCGGCTCCTAGTTATACCAGTTCCATTCATATATTCTTATCATTTCAATCATTGACATCATTAAAAAACTTTATTTAATGTATAGGAAACATTATTATAAGTGTTTAACAACAGTATATTAACTATACTAAAATGAATTCAACGACTGCCTACGAACTTCCTGATGGGAAGGTTCGCGTGTGTATATACGTTTAGCTAGTTGAATTCAAATTTAATCGAGATCACTCCTTTTTTACATAAAAATGAAAAAATGTATTT